CTTTATTAAATAAAAAGAAAATTTAATGTGAGAACAGCTCATGACCGACTATCCTGTTACATTTTCGAAAATGATGATGAAGTTTTTATTTAACATAGAATTCAGTTGTTTTTCAACCCACTTTTCTCAAAAAGTTTTTTACATCATTCTTTCAGAGCAGCTGAAAGATTTGCTAACAAATTCGCAAGAAAAATTCTTTATTGCTGTCTCACGATATTTTAATGGTTAGAAATGTTACATGGAACTAGTTTCAGAAACCCCTGAAAAGTTTCAGAAGTTAGTCAATTAATCACATCCTCAAAGCCAATTAAAATTGAAAATTTCACCAAAATTAGATCACTTGAAACTTAAATACAGAAGTGCACCGTTAATTTATAGATTAACAGGCGGACATCTTACCAAAATTTGTTTAATTCATTTTTCTATATCAAAGATAAGCTCACTTCTACTGAAATTTCCATATGCAAAAATTAGACTCGATCACAATACCTTCCTCAAAGCGGTGAAATTTTTTATGATTTTTCAATGCTTTTTAATGCTTGTTGTTAATGTGATGGTTAAAAAGTCTTGCACATAGTGTTACATGTGAATACATAAATTTATGTTAAATGTGAGTACATAAATTTTATTAATAATAATTGACGTTTTTACCACTTTTACTATTAATTCAAAAATTCTTAGAGAAATTTAAATTTGTTTTTTCGAAGTTCGGTTAACATAAAATCAGATCAATTAGTATTAACCGTTTAATTAAAAAAAAAAGAACAACAAGTCTAAGGAAAAGGTTTTGCTTATTTAACATAAACCGACAATCTTCTAGAAATGAAAGCTCTTACAACTTAAGCGTCCTTTCGAAATTCCCATCTCAACATTGTAGTGTTCTCGTCACACCTTACTATTAAATTAAACTAAATTTTTCTAATAAAATGATTACAATGAAATGTCATTGGGAAAAATGCAATATAAAAATTACAGAAAAATTTTTAATGAGTTAAAGACGAATATTGATTTTCTAAGAAAACTCAAAGAAAATTGCACACTTTTTTCTCTGCACTTATGTATTTTATTCCATTAAGCATTAATTCTTTTACATTGTATTGTTATTGTCTTGGATACCAGTTTCAAATTTCCAATTAAATAAATTATTTTCATTAAAAGAAAAAAAAATTAACTTTTATTGCGAATATAATAATACTGTCAGTGATATCAGAAATCCCAGTAAATATTTTTGAAATAGTAGATTTTCTTACATCAATGATAATTTTAATTCATTAACATCTTTATTACTAAAAATTTCATGCGTACACAGTTATTATTGCTATCAAAATGTGAAAAAGTAAAATTTATTTAAGCAATCAAATCATAAGATATTATTTGGAAGTTACTGTGTATAAGAATAAATTCAAAATTGAAGATTTTCTTCTGAATTTTATTCTGAAGCATTTAAATGTACCCATTTTATTTTGCGAGTCCACAAAATCATCTTCTGTTCGAATTTCACATCAAATTTTGATTAATTATGCGTTAAAACTTGTTTATTCATGAAATGCAAATGGTTAGAGCAAATTAAATTCAAATTTTGGAGAATTATCATTTAAATGATTTTAATTTGTAGGAGAACTTGTAGCTTTTTATGGTTCTATTGAGAACTTAGAAATGTGCTTAGAGCAAATTCCCGAAAATCCGAATTTTTTAGGAAATTCAGAACTCTTTTAACTTTCAAACACAAATTCTGTTTAATATCGCGCGTAATAATCACGAGGTACTGTTCACATACACGTACGACAAAATCTGAGATTAAATCGTAATTATTAAAGCCTTGTACTAATAAACTGAGAGTAAATAAACTATTCCTAAATTATAAATTCACATTAAGAAATAAAATCAAAATTTCTCATACCTTACAAATTAAATATGTTTATCATAATGCGTTATTATTAAAACTCATTGTTCAAGTATCATTTGTGTGTTGTTTTGTTAAGCGTTTTCACGTTATAAAAATCACTTAAGCATTTTAATAGTGCTATAATTGTTGCCTCTTTGCTATTTCATTATTACTTACTACAACAATATTGTTATGTGTCATTTCTCATTTCTTCTCTTATGTTGCCATCATTATTTTGTTTACCTCGGCAAACGCAATAGTAAAATATAACTGAAAAAAAAATTACATAAAATAGAATAAACAATTGGAAATTCAAATGAAAATAATAAAAAAAAAACACTGAGAAAAAAAAAAACATGAAAGGATGGAGTGAAATTTTTGACGTTTTGATTTTTCTAATTTATTTTGATTTACTTTTTGGTTTCTTTAATTTTTTGCTTTTTTTGTTTATTGCTCCCTCTGCCTCTATTCCTGATGGGCTCTGGTATGGCACTCTGTTAATATTTATTTAACTTGACAAGAAAATTTCATTACACCGTACGTCAGTTCATAATTTTTTTTTTTTTTGTTTTTTCTCTCTAAATTTTATTATGCGGGTTACTATATTGCCGCATGGTTATCAAATAAAAATTGTAATGTGAAGAGAGTGCGGGTGAAATGGATAGACTAGAGAGTATTGAAATTGTTTAAACGAATGAATGAAGTTTCACATTTATTTTTATTTTATTTGTTAAATAAAAGCAACTTTTTGACACAATTTTTGTCCTTTTGTTTGATTTCATTTCAATTTGAATAAATTGTTTTTGAATGTGTTTTTTGTTTGTTATACATTCAAGTATTTACATATTTGTGTATAATAAAAGAAAAAAAATTATATGTATGTATATATGTGCTTTCTAACTTCATTAAAATTATCATATAAAAACTTTAACTAAGAAAGCAAAAGGAATTTTTTTTTTGGTGTTTTATGAGTTTTTTTCATTTTGGGGGAATGAGTTAAATTTGATTTACTTTGTCACATAATTATGTTAATTATGTAGCTTAGAAAGCAAAAGATTTAAAGTAAATATGTTGAAATAATAATTTGAATAAAAATATTTAAATATACAATGATTTATTTAACGAAATGGAAGGGTTTTGTTTATTTAGATTTAGAGAATGAATGAGTAATAAAATCAGAATTTTATAAGTTTTTTTTATGACACAGAAAGTCAGGTACAGAATTGATTTGAAATAAATTTATTTTGACGTTTATGTTATTTTGTACGCTGTATCATCGGCATTCGGCCTTCATTTCAGGCTCTTTTTCAAATAAATTCAAAGAGAAGAGATTCAAGAAATTTATTAAATGCTCAAAATGGTCTAATTAAATTTGATAAACCATTTTACGATTGCTAGACGAATTATTGTTTAACACACTTCACTTTCAAATTAGATTACGTAGACAAATAAAAACGTCAATAATTTCTTCATATCTTTATTGTTGAGTTGGTAGAGCTTCCACCTTTGAAGAGGGAAGTGTAGGTCACTGATCAATAGTTTATTGGTTCACTTTTAAGGCGGAAAAATTTCATTCAATTTTGATTCGTTTTTTCGTCCATGTTCGTCATCTATTCTAAAACCCGTATTCTTTCAAAGTATCCTTCTTTATTTTTACCTTATATGTATATGTCTGTAATTGAGTTAAATTAAGCTTAACAAGCTTTAAATATTTTGTTATTTAAATTTAATAAACATAAAATATTATATAAGGAACAAATGGCTTTCTTTAAAATATTCAAAAATTTATCTAAAACAAACGCTTTATGACTATTTACAATTTTATTAAAGAATAATATATTTAACAGTCGAATAATTACCCTGGACCATTGATCTGACCATTGGTGCAGTGGTTATGGCACCGGTCCTTTAACCGAAGGGTCTCGGGTTCAAATTGACCCCGGTCAGGTCACTATAAAAATTATATTCAATATTATTATAACTTAATATACAATACTAATAAAAAAATATTATACAAGTAATTTTCAAATATTCCTAATATTCGATATTAAAAAAAAAAACTAAGAAAAATAAAACAGTAAATATTAATAACCTCAAATAATTAATATATAAATAAAAACTACGGCAGGTGAATAGCCTAGTTAAACCCTATGACGCTATGAAACTAGTGCATGAGAAATCATGCACTAGCCCTATGCTCCTTCTAGGAAAAAAAAAATTTTCTGAAACTTGATTGAATCGTATAATTCTTAATTCTGAATTGCATATATATATAATTCTTAATTTAATTTGAATTGCATAAGTAATTATCTTCTAAAATTCGGAGTTCCGAAAAATTCTTAAACTGATCTTTTCTTCTTTATTTTAATTAAGATTTAAATTTTTTCATATTTTCTGATTTTGTTTTAACATAAATTCAATAATTAACTAATTATTTAAATTATAAATAATAAGTATATTAGAATTATAATTAATAAAAATAAAATTATATTTTATTAATTTTTTTTATTAATTATTTTAATTTGTGAAAGTAAATTATTATTTTCTTATATTATTTTTTACATATATCGCATGAGAAATGATATTAAATCTTATATTTTAATATTGTTAATGAAAAAATTAATTGCAATTAATTTATAATAATTTGAAAATTAAATGAAAAACAGAAAGAAAAGCGAAAAACAGTTTGCTTTCTTTCTTTTTTTTTTGTAATGGTTAACTAATTACTGTTAAATTTATTGCATGCATCATAATTACGGTGAAATTTGAAATGTACATACACATACAAATAATTATAAAGTATTATGCTTCATAATTTTTTTTTTTGGTTATAGCACACCTAAAACAATACTTCTCTAAATAAAAAAAGAAATTTTTTTAACAAATCCGAAATTTTCCCTAATTTTTAATTAATTTTTCTTTTTCTATATTTTTTCAGTTCTATTTTTTGTTTTACTATCTAAATTTTCTTCATATTTGTACTGCAAGCAAAATTTATTCAAAATTAATATTGGAGAAACAAGAGATAAATAAGAGCACATTAAAAAAAGATGTCCTTTTTGTTAAATTTTGAATTTTGATTATTTTTTTTATTTTTTTATTTTTTTTTTTATAGATCTTGCTTGCAGTACGAATTCAAGTGTGTTAATAGGTGAGATCTTAAATATTTAAAATTTGTTATTTACAATATAAGTAATTTAATTTGTTTTGACTTTTAAAAGGACGAATGATAAATTTAGCTTTAAATTTCATTTTAAATATTCAAATTTTAGGAGGCACATGAAATTACATTATGTAAAATGATGTTGAGTAAAACGGATTTTATATTAGACCCTTTCCCATTTTGTCAAATATTTGACAATCATGTTAATTACACATCATTCGCTTGATTTTGCAAATTATGTCATTCAATTTATTCGCTTGATTTTAAAGAAATACAAAAAAGAAACTATTAAATAATAGCCAAATGTGTTTGCAACGTGTATACGAATTTATGGCACATATTATGTCATTTCGGAATTTTTGACTAATGTCAGTTACGTACATTTGATATGCTGGGCAATAGCCTTACTTGTAGAAATAGTTATTTTTATAATTTTGGTATTGAAAATTGAATTTCTATTTATGTTTCTATATAAAATTAGTTTCACATAATTGTGCATCAAAAAATAGAAAATATTAAAACTCTTATATAAAATAAACAAACTTCATAAAATTCTAATAAAACTATAAAACTCCTATCCGAAACCTTTTTCAGTATTAACAAAATTTTCTAATCATTTTTGTCAGTATTAACAAAGAATGAAGTATTACTGACTTATAGAGCTAAAAATCAAATAATTGAGGCAGCCCGTTGTGAATAATAGAAATTATTTTTACAACTGATTTATTTTATAATATTGAATTTAATAACTTAACCATCATTCTCAAAATATTTCTAAAAACAAAATAGTCTTTCCCTTGTGGTGTTATAATTAATGATAATATATGCTACTATTATCGTATACCACATAAACCTAAGACATGTGTATATTTGTAAACATACATACGTCTTATATAAATTTATAGAAAATATTTAGAGATATGGTGCATATAAAATTTGTAGAAAACTGTTAATTTTAACGCCTTTTAAACTATTTAATTTTTTATTTAATACCATAAACATTCATGTGTACATCTATAAAGAAAAAAATAGTATCCTATATCTATACTTGATAGTATACTTGTGTTTAACATTTACTATTGCACATATACCGTAATTAGTAACCAATATACGTATATAACACACGGTAAACACTTTATTAAATAAAAATGTTGATGAATATTTGTTTAGATATGCTTGTAAATTAAAGAAATATTTTATAAAAAAAAAACAATATTTAACTTTTATTAATTAATTAATAATATTCTTTTCCAAGCCCATATTGTTTTAAATTATTGTTATAAAAATTAAATTTTTAAGTTATAAATAGTGCGGTAAGTGTTACCTGAATGACTTCAATTTTGAGTTTGTTTTAAATTGTATAACGTTGATTTACTTAATATATTCGCATTACATGATATGTTACATGATTTGTAATATACTACAATTTACATATATATTAATTGATTTGTAATCCGGTTAAATTTTTCTGTTATACTGTTATACTTCAGTATAGTAATTTCAGCAAGCTCTACATAGTAATTTTTTGAAATGTTTTAGGAAAGCAATAACATATTCTATTAATTTTAAAGCAATCAATGTCATGAATGAAGTTTTTGGTTTTTAAACCGAAATTTTGCACAGTAAAATGGTAGCTTACTGTCATATATTACGTAGACTGACACCGTACATATTGAGAATGAAACTCATTCAATATTTGTAAAATTGAGTAAAGATGTACATGTATACACACATGTTGGTGGTTTTGAGTTCCCCCGAGTCGAAACAATAGTTTACAATTCAGATTTTAAACTTTATTTTGAATGTTGCTGCCCTAAACGTTATTTCAATTTCTTGTTATTTTTGATAATATTTTCCTACATAAATTCTAGCTGAAATTTATTTTATTGAACAATGCTTAAAGAACAAAGATAAGAAAGAAAAAAAACAAAATGCCATGACAATGACAAATCTTTATTTCTCTTATTTTTCCCCAATATTCAAATTAGAATCATGAGATTCAACTATAAAATATTTACATAATCCTTCAATTTAAGAACATCTATATACCATTTACCAATATTTAAACAAAAATAAAACAAAATATGTAGATTATTCTGTAGCAACAAAAAAAAAAACCAAATATTATGGTAATAAAACTAGTTTCTTACTGGTTACATGAAAAAATTGTTTGATAAGTTCTGATTTACATTTTACAACTATTTTAATAAAGATTGTATAGAACAATAATACATGCATACAGGAATTGTATTTGCTACAGTTCCCCTATGGTAATAAATAGGAATTTATATATGCATTTGCGCTTACCCATTTTCAAAAAGAACTACTAAGATTATTGAAAATTCATTGATCTTATGAATTTAGAGTATTAGAATAGAAAATGTATTAAAAACAATATTTTATTTAAATTAGTACTGTTATAGGGTAATATTGATGTTTTATGATTAAATCAATATTGTGGCAGACATAAAATATAAGTATAATGTGCTCTCAAGCCCTTTGAACTTTTTATAGGTCATAATAGAAAGTAATTAAACTGGAAAAGCAAAAAAAATCCGAAATTAAAATTCTAGATATTTCAAAGCAGCACATGTTCGATATCAAACTTTGGTATGACAGTGTTGTTGCTTGAGATGTGAGTAAATTTAATGTGTATTGAACCATAGACTCCTATAATGTAGATAAAGATATATATGAGAATAATGAGAATAAAGATGTGTGTGATTGAACACTTTGAATTGATACCTTTGATAAACAAAAATGTCATGTAATTCAAATCGTATCGCTTCGCAAATATCAATTTGACTCTGATTTTAAAACTATAAAAATATAAAATCAAACAATCAAAACGAACACTTGAATTATTTCCTTTATTAAATTTTTGATTACGATTCCATTTCATATTGTTGATATACTTATGTACATATGTATATACGTATGAATATGTAACTCACAGTTTTTTAGCAGAAACATTTCGGTTCGTCTAAATTATACCCTGCACTTTGACAATCTGAGCATAAAAACTTGTTTTTGAAAGATTTAGAACTAGGTTTCCTAGTTGTATGTGCAGTCAAACCATTCCATAGAGTTTTCATCGATATAATTGATCTATAGTTGACTATATAACTTAAACGATTTGTGCCATTTGTAAATCTAAAATGTACACACGTTTACAAATTAATTAATATATTTATTAGTTTTTGAGTTATTTAAAATAATCTCTTTGCGTTTAATGACAACTACTTGGATCCGTTGTCAGAATTTGTCCCATTACATTAGGGCCCGCTCTCAAAGAAGAATATTAATATATACATGCATGTATACCGCAGACGGCTTCTTTGAGTACAAACTCCATACCAAAACAAATGTACCCTTTACGAAGGTGCAGGGTATTAGAACAGAGAAAAATTTATTTTCTCACCTCTCTGTATTTTATTATATACTTAATGTTGTTTCGCTCTTATTATTTTATGTCTTTACGGATGTTTCAATCGTCAACAACCTGTCAAATATTTTAATTGACAGAATATCTTTTAAACATGGTTATTGTTTTTTATTATCCGAGACAAATTTATTTCTTTATTCGTCATACATATTTTTGCAGTTGTGTATAATATTTTTATTAATTTACAATAATTGACATCTGTATCAGTTTTTATACGTATAGCAAATGTAAGATGTGTAAACTTAACATATATTAATAAAAAAGGAATGAATTAAAAATTACACCGGCTGAGTGAAGGGTGATTGAAGTCTTTTTTTTTTATTTAAATTATAGGAAATTTTAAATTTAATTTCAAATAATAATTCCTAAAACGTGCTTATCTTCACGTCAAATTTGATTTCAAACATATTAGATAGATTTTGATTGCAACTGAAAAGATTCCTTGATACCGTATCGTATGATATACTTACACTCATACTTTTTGTATGAATGCCAAGTTCATTTTATTGTTGATTAATAATTATATACAAATAAGGTAAAAATAGGATATTTCTAATTGACTAAAATAATAATGAATTATTATTTATAATATATTGCGTAAAATAGATTATGTTGTTAATTTGAACATTTATTAGTCATAAAGACATGTACACATTTATACAATTCTAACAGTTCTAAAACATGTTTGATTACAATATAATGGAATATTTGGTTATAAACGTATAATTGTATTTATAATTATTATTATAATCATTAGATGTAATTATTATACTTATAATTTAGTTGAAACACGTAGATAATATTTAATTTTTAAAAACCGACACAAGTGTCGCATCCTGAATAAGAATTAAAACTCATATAACAACAACATTAACCTAAAGAGTAATTATTAAAGATCCAAACCATTTAAATTAATTAAAGAAATATTTATACATATAATATATACTTATATACTCGTACATGCAAAAATTCATGGAGAAGATGTAGCTTTTGCTTCTCTTAATTTTTCCAAAATTTTGTATAACATGTAATTTAGAATATTATATGTTATGTGTACATATGAAATCAATCTTTGTTAACAGTATTAACAGTAAATGGTTCTATTAAAATAACATTAATTATCAAATAAATTCAAATTAATATAAGTAAAATTTTTAAATGCAAATATTACGAACCCATCTGTTATTAAAATTAAAAGCTATTATTATAAGAAATTTCAGATTAACGTCATTAATTATATAAAACCTTAAAATAATTAACTTAAATTTCAAATGATAAAACGGTGAATTAATCATTAAAATGTGCTTTATAAACACACACAAACACTTGTATATGAAAATTGTGCACATTAATGCACCTGTGAAAAATTGCATGATGGCCGGTTTTTGCCGTTTAATTTCTCTCTTTATTTTTTTCCATTATAATATTTATTCTTTCTGGCTCAATGCTATTTTGTGTTTTTCTCTCTAAACTGTAATTTATAATCCAGTTTCAAACAAAACAAAAAAAAAATCAAATAATATAAAAGTATTTTTTATGTATAATTAAAAAATAACAAAATAAATACAAAAAACTAAAAATAAGAAAATTTTTTTTTTAAATAGAGCGCACAATTATTTGATTTTAATTTTATCTCTTCAAATTGAATGAAAGAAAATTCACTTAATGCTCATATGATTTTGTGGTTTAATGGCAATTTTTTTAGTTCTAATTTTATGTTCTGATCATGTTAAAATATTTAATTAAAATATTAATGTGTGCAAAAAACTGAATATATAAATTATTTCTGATCAGTCCCAGAAGATTTCTGGGCATATAAAATTGCATTAATCTTAAATCCTCTTAAATAAATAATCCTTGACATTTGATTAAAATTTCTGTATTTTATTTATTTAAGATAAAATGTTCACTAGAATTTTAATTAGATAACAAAAAATTTTAAAATATTTTGAATTTTTTCCGCTTTCTTGCCTTTAATTTGCAAAAAAATACCCAAATCAATCTATTTTATTTTACTCCAGAATTCAAATTTTAATATGATCAAAGATAACGCAATTTTAACTTGAAATTTAGTTTGGATTTCAAATCTAATTAAAAATATTTTATTCCTTAAATAATTTTATGGGATACAATTTTTATATTTGTTATTTATTGGGACGAACTTGAACGCCTTGAAACTGTTTCACCTTTACATTCTAATTAAATTAGAATTCTCAAAATCTAAATATTGTGTCAGAGCTATCTCTATGGCAGAATCTAGGCCGCTATGTATTTAATCTACTAATCTTATGTAAATATGCGTTGTGGAGTTCGTGCATAGTTATTAAGTTGTTGGGGAAATCTAGAAGTGAAAAGTAGTTTAGTCTCAAAATTTCGGAAATTTTTTTATAATTGCACAAAATTGAAAGAAAACTTAATTAATTTTTTTTTAAATATAAGCTATTTAAAAAGTACTTACGGCATTAAAATTGCATTTATAGTATAACAGTAGTAAAAACCGTATGTACACAGCAAAAACACTTATATACATACATATACTCACATAAGACTTCAAAAATTTTAAATGCCTTCTAGTAAAATCCATCATATTTTTCATATTTTGTATGTTTTCATGATAAAAAGAAAAATCAAAACGTCAGACTAGATTTTAATGTTTTTACACTTGATTAATTATGTTTAAGAACAGGAACAAATATTTCATATATGGATTGGAAGATGAAAAATTAAAATTACAATTAATCAATCAACAATTTCTTGTTCACGATAAATCACTTTAACGAATTAGTGGTTTATAACTTGTATGTATCAACAAAGGTTGCCTTATTGACTTACAACAATTAAATACCGAACATGTTATGAATAAGTCGTATATAACGTTATGCAACATTTTGTATGATATGCAACATGTATGTAATTATGGATTTATAATGGCATTTGATTTATTTTTAGAATCTTTGCACCTTCATTTAAATTACCTCAGTTAGTTATTTAATAATTACCTCAATTCATATTAAGTAAATAGTTAATAATTACCTCAGAATTCATAACAAAAGCATTAAATTAACAAAATTTTAATTTTATTTTACAGGTGTTATTTATTTAAGATCACATTTAAATAGATATTTATCCGTTGATCAATTTGGAAATGTATTATGTGAATCAGAGGAACGTGATACTGGTAGCCGTTTTCAAATAAGTATTGCAGAAGATGGTTCCGGTAGATGGGCATTAAAAAATGAATCTCGTGGTTATTTCTTAGGTGGAACACCCGATAAATTAGTGTGTACTGCAAAAACTCCAACAAAAGGTGAATTTTGGACAGTACATTTAGCTGCAAGACCACAGGTAATTAATTATTCGATTTGAATATAATTTTAAAAATAATAAATTCGAAAAAAAAACTACTCATTTTAATTTCTTATACCGTTCAACTAAAATTTATTCTATATTATAATTCGAAACTTTCTTTAACGGTTTAATTTGTACTGTTCTGTTTTCATTATATAATTTTAGGTTAATCTACGGTCTGTTGGACGTAAAAGATTTGCGCATCTATCAGAATCACAAGATGAAATTCATGTTGATGCTAATGTTCCATGGGGTGAAGATACTTTATTCACACTTGAATTCCGTGCTGATGAAGGTGGAAGATATGCATTACATACATGCAATAATAAGTAAGTGCATGAATATATATGGTAAAAAATAATATAAAGATGAAATCGTAACTGAAATGTGAAATTTACTATAATAAATTAATTATTGTAACAATATCGTTCTAATTTTTGGGCGTTCCTGTAATGCTATCATAATTATAAATATTTAATTGTATAAAAAATGTTGCTTAATATAACACAAAATATGCAGACCATTAACATTCAAAATCAAACATGATTCACTGAATATTAATATAAGCTCTCGTTTAATTACATAGGTACTTAAATGCTAATGGTAAATTGCAAGTTCTTTGCACTGACGAATGTCTATTCAGCGCTGAATATCATGGTGGACATTTAGCATTACGAGATGGGTAAATTAACACATAGTTATATAATATTTTCAAATAATAATATAATATTAAAAACAAATTTAAAAATCAAAACTTTGAATTAACAGTGAAGGTCAATATCTATCACCAATTGGTTCAAAGGCTGTACTTAAATCAAGATCATCAACTGTAACACGTGATGAATTATTTTCATTTGAAGATTCTTTACCGCAGGCATCATTTATAGCTGGTTTAAATTCACGTTATGTTTCTGTTAAACAAGGTGTTGATGTTACAGCAAATCAAGATGAAATTGGTGAAAATGAAACATTTCAATTGGAATTTGATTGGTCTGCACATCGATGGGCATTAAGAACAACTCAAGATCGTTATTGGTGTTTATCAACTGGTGGTGGTATACAAGCAACTGGTAATAGACGATGTGCTGATGCATTATTTGAATTAATATGGCATGGAGATGGTTCCTTATCATTTAGAGCTAATAATGGAAAATATTTGGCAACAAAACGTTCTGGTCATTTATTTGCAACATCAGATACTATTGAAGATATAACAAAATTTTATTTCTATTTAATAAATAGGTGAATAAAAAAAATTAAAAATATAAATATTTAATAAAATTTTAAATTATGCATATAAATTTTTTAGACCGATATTGGTATTAAAATGTGAACAAGGTTTTGTTGGTTATAAAGCACCTGGTAGCACCAAATTGGAATGTAATAAAGCAATGTATGAAACAATTTTAGTTGAACGTGCTCAAAAAGGTATTATACATTTGAAAGCACATAGTGGAAAATATTGGAGAGTTGAAGGTGATTCTATTGCTGTTGATTCTGAAACACCAGTTGATGGTTTTTATTTAGAATTAAGAGAACCTACTAGAATTTGCATTAGGTAAATAATAATCATTAAATAAATTAATATTTTCATGTTAATTAATTCCTTTTTATATATTATTTTAGATCTTGTAATGGTAAATATTTGGGAGCAACTAAAAATGGTCTATTTAAATTAGTTGGTGATGATCCAGAAACTGCTACACAATGGGAATTTTAAATAATTGAAAAATTTAAAATAAGAAACAGAATAAAGAAAATAACACATTCAATTTTAAATTAACAAACAAAAATTTAATCATATTATTAAAAATATTTCTCTATTATTATTAAAAGTAAATATACATAAAATATTCTTATATTAATTAAGAAACAACCTAAAATTATATTTTACTATAATTAATCATAAACAAATCGAAATGATAAACATTGAAAATATAAATTTAAAGTATTTTTTTTTTTTAAATAATCATAACTAAATCTTCAAAAATGATTGTATTGTAATAAAAATATTTAATTTATAAATATTAAAAAATTATAAATTTTATGCAATTATAAAAATAACGATAGCGAAATAAAAACAATTATTAAAACAAAAAAATAAAACTATGATACTTTTATATAATTTTTATAAAGAATATATTAAAATGGAATTTCAGAAAATAGACCAACAAAACATCAGAATTAAAAAGAAACAAAACTTATATCCTTCTTATAAAAGAAATTAATATATTATTAATATATAAAGAAAAAGGAAAAAATAAAATATACATAATAATAAATAATCCTTATTATATACAAAAAAAAATATAATCAAATAATTTACTATACTATTATTATAAGCTGATAAATAAACATAAATGCATAATTTATATTATTAAATAAAAAAGAAACGAAACAAAAAATAAAAATACCTCCTTTTTATACATAAAATTTTTATAAAGAAAATGTAAGGAAATCTAAGCATAATTAATATTAAAATTGCAAAATTAAAAATATAATTAAGAAATTTATAAAAATTCTTTACATTTAGTTTTTTTTATCTTTTGATAATTTTTTTTAATTGGTGTTTTTGGAAATTTTTTATAAAATTTAATAATTAGATAAGAAATAAGAAACGATTCCTTAAATAAATCTTCAATATTTTATTCACTTGTTAATCAAAATAAAATTTACATTGTCAAATCGGAATTCGAATAATATCCTGGCTTCCATATTGTAATAAAATAAGTTTTTAAACCGGTTTAAAACGGCATTTTTGTTTTACTTAAATACTTCGATGTAAAAAATTTGTAAAATATCGTGTTTAGATTATAGAACAAATTTGAAATTTAAATTGTTAATGTCGAATATTTTGACATTGATTTTAACCTAAATTACTACTAATGCAGAAAATAAAATCAAAAATAAGTAGTTTTTCAAATGCGCTACTCACTTATAAAACTAAATTCTAAAAGTTTTTAAATAGTATCAAATTTTTTTTTGAAGCGCTCTCTGCTTTTTCCTGCGCATTCAAAACGATTTTTAAACGATATGGAATATGGTTGCTTCGTATAAAGTTATGCATAAATTGGAAATATATGGAAATTAATAGTTTTTACAATATTGGAACCAGGGATAATATAAAAAAAAGTGTAAACATATTATGTATATTTCTACAAAATTTTAATAATATTATAAAAATAATTAAATTAATTTATTTTGTATGCTAACAATAAGTTAGTAATTTTATTTTAGTATGAAATTATAATAATATGTATTTTTAATTATATGTTAGCTATTTCAAAAAAAGAAAGTATTTTAACAAAAAATATATTTTAAAAATTTACTATGAAATTTTTGGTAAATTTTTCAAAATAAAATTTTGTTTCAATTTAAAAATTGTATAGTAATAATGCTTTTAAAGCAAGCAATAATAACAATTTTGAATGTATATTTTAAATTATTTTTAAAGACTAGATTTATTCCAATTAATAAAAAAGAATGAAAAACTAATTTAATCGTTGAAAGAAGAAATTTAAATAATATTATTCAACAAAACATCGACAATTTTCGGCATTAAACTATATAAATGATGCCTATATTTTTTGGTATTAGTTCAATAACCATGAACGTAGTTTACATTCTTTTCGCCGTTTCTATACTCAAAAAAGAAACTAAATTTTTCTATCATAATTTGTACATTACGAAATACACAATCCGATTAATCAAGTAAATTATTATTTTAGACAAGTTTCAATTAATATTGATAACTAATTGAAAACGAAAGAATCACTTAAAGTTGTGAAAAATTTTTTATATAAAAGATAATAAATCCGTCAAAAAAAATAAAAATTTTTTTAAAAAGAAAAAAAAATTATTATAATTCAAAAAAAATTTTTTTATATAATTTTGTAACAAAAGCAAAATGACGAAATTTTCTAATAATGAACAATTAAAAAAATAAAAGCCAAATTATTTTTTAAGATCTAAAATGAAAACAAAATTTTTTATAAATGAAAACAAAAAAATATTACCAACAAATTTTAAAAATACAAAATAAATAAGAATATTTAATTGTACGCTAAATTATCATGAATATTTATATAATAAAAAAATATATTTTATAAAAATTACGAAAAAAGAAGTTATTTCTGAGTTATTTTCAATTTTAAAAACACAATTCAAAAAAATATGTTTTTTATAGATTTATACAAATATAAAAAAACTCAGAACTTAAAAGATAAAAAGTAATACAAATAAAATAATTATTGAAATCTAATAAAAATAAATAGTGTTATTGCTTTTATAAAAAAAATTAAAATATTAAAATGCATTAAATTAGATCTGAAATTAGAAAGAAAAACCAGCACTCTTTAGATTTTTATAATTATAAATTAGAGCATTTTATACAAAAAAAGCATTAAAAGAAAATATTGAACCAAAATATAAGCATAATAAAATAATAATCGGCATAATATAATAAATAAAAAAACACCCAATTAATTGGAAAAGAAAATTATAAGTTTTACTAATTTTATAATAATTTGAATGTAAACATATTTGCAGCAAAATTACTGCCAATTTTTATATATTATATAATTGTAAAGTTTACAATGATCATAAAAGTCTTATCTGTAATAAATAAAAATATTCGTAAAAATTAATTATGAATCTTGAAAAAAGTTTTAAAATTAAATTAATATCTGATATAATTATCAGAAATTATAGGAACATATTAGATTTATGTATTTTATTAATTAAAATATCTTGATAAAAACTTCATTGTTTCAATTATTTAAGAGTGTTTAAATACTTTCTCGTATTACTTATAATTTGTAATTTATTCTACATGATTATACAGCAAATAATTAAAATTGAACTAAATTAGATAAAATTGAAAATTTCTCAATATTAAATATCACATGAAAAATATTAAAATTTTTTAATTGAATTATTTTAAATTTCGTTATAATGTACTCGGAAACATATTTCAAAACATTTTGTAAATGATACTGCAATGCAAAATAATCCCAAATTTTAGTACCAATTATCAAGTATAACATTTTATTTGAAACGATAAGACTTTCGATTAAAAATCAAATATTTTAAATAAAATCAAATTTCTATAAGAAACACCACATTGTAGACTAACAATTAAAAATAATATAAAATAATTTATTATCAATATTTTATAAAATGGAAAATAAATTTTTTCCAAAAGTAAAAAAATTCCATTAAAAATAAAAAAATAAAGAAACATTATACCTAAATAAATATTATTATTATTTTAGTGCTAGCTTTACATTATTGTAATGGCATGTATTATATTATAAAAAATTTGCTTAAAAATACTACATTATAATCAATAATTAAATTAAAAATAAATGAAATATTAAAAATTTAATAAATAATTAAAATAATTCATTTATATTTAAATATATATTATGAGGGTGTCACATTTATCCATTTTTATTTAAATGAAATATTAAAATTTTTATATATACTTACTAATTGAAATATTATATTAAATAATTTAAATAAATTAATAATTGTGAATTAATGAAAATTAAATTGTGAAAGATTATTTAAATACAATTTTATATAAATTTTTATCCTTTTTTTTGTTAAATATTATGTTTATATCCATCCCTTCGTACCAAAATTACTTTTAATTCAATTTATTTTTTAATATAAATTTTTTTCAATTATTCTAAACTATTATATTATAGAAGGGCATAAAATATATTCTTAGAATTATAAAAACAAATATTATTAAATAAGTAATTGTATTATAATAATAATTATTAAAATTTGAGCTTTTTTAATTAACATTCAATGTACTTAGCTATGCATATATTTATATTTAAAAATATATATTAAAACACAGAATAATAATATTTGCATGCCATATTACATAATGTAAACTAATAAATAATTTAATAAAAAATTTTTTTATATTAATATCAAATATTACAATATATTTTAAGATTTATAAAAACAAAACAAAATTATTAAAAGAAATTAAAACATAAAAAATTAAATTTAAATTTCAATTATTATTATACTAGCTCTATATAAAATAGTTAAAAAAACATTCTCATTGAATAATTAAAAAAAAAAAAAAACTATTTTTTATTTTTAATTCCTTTGTATTTTAAGTCACATACCTACATTTTTACATTATATATAATACATATACTTTTAATATTGTGAATTATTTATATATAATTAGAATATTATTAAAATATATTACCTCTACAATTATTATATGTTAATGTGAGACATTTTATATTATATATTTATATATATACACTAATAATAATCAATTATTTTTTTTTTATATAAAAAATGGAAAAAAAAAAAAACAAAAAATTTTCTTACTATTTTCTTCCTTTTTTTTTTATTTTTTGTTTTGTTAGTTTTTAAGGATTTACATATTAAATAAAAAAAAAATATTATAAAACATTTAATTTATAAAATAAAGAAAAAAAAAATCAATTGATTTTCAATTAAAAATTTCTATTAATTTTTTATATAATATAATTATAAATTTAATAATTAAACAAAAAAATATTATGAGACATTAATGATGGATGACCTATACATAAAAATAAATTATATGATAACAGTTCATATTAAATATTAAAAAAATAAAATTAAAAATCAATAATAAAATAAAAATATTAATTGAAAACAGAAAAAAAAAACAAAACAAATGAAAAAAATGAATAAATATAAAACAAAAAAAACATTAAAATAAAATATTTGTGTAAATTAAAAAATAAAATGTGTTTTATTTTAATAACAAGTTAGGGACTTTTGTTAATTCAGACGTGGAGGATTTTCATTAATCCTCTTCATAATAATTCTGACTTTTAGCAAGTTAAAAAATGCACATATTGAAAATAAAGATCATTCGTCATCAAAATTATTCGCTGTAATAAAGTGACTTTAAATGCTAATTAATTCTGTGACTTAAAAATTTAAGTTTTAATGTAGAACTAAAAGCAGTGCACTAAAAATTCTAAATTAAATTTTAAAAATCTTTTCACATATGGACTTACAAAACTGCAGAAACATTGAATATTTTACTTTTGGAATATTTTACTCTAGCTGTTCTTCAAACATTTTTGATTATGTTATTCTTTTAATTTATAACATTTTTGCAGTAGTTATAAAAAGAAACTTAAAAACTCCTTTAGAACTTTAAGCATAATTGTCATTTTCGAAAATACTATTTTTGCAGATTTTTTACTTTGGATTGGATCGAACGTGCTCTTTATATTAAGAGCTAAGTTAAAACTGAATTACAAAAAATTTTCTACAAGAAATACCTATTTATTCTCTTAATTAAATTATTGGAACAAAATTTGATTTAAAGAAAAAAAATTGAAATTAAAATTTAAAAGTTACTTCAGAATTAAGGTATTTCTAAAAATGTGTAGTCAATTTGATGTAGGTTATTTATTTAAATTAAAAATGTAGTTCTTAAAGTTAAAATACCCTTATTCAGCAAATTGTGTTTTTGAATAAATCAAATTGACACTAGATCTGCATTTTAGTAATTGTCCAATTATTCTATGGAAAATTTTTAGAACACATTATATACAAATATATAATATTAAATTTCTTTTTAAAACGTTAATTCGTAACAAAACGCAATAAAATCATTTTAAATAATTAATATAAAAAATTCAAATTGTTTAAGGACCATCTATTTAATTTTAAATAAGGATAATTTAAGGATTAAACCAAAATTTTTATTAAACATTTTAATTAACCTTAGTTTAATAAAAATAGCACCTTAAAGAAAATTTATAAACTGTGAAAAAGGATGAAGCAATAAATTTTGTGTATACCTTACCCAAACTCCATCGAAATTCCTGAACGTGTCTGTTGGTATACAGACATTTAATTCCAACGTTTATATGTGTATGTATGTGGGTATACATTTTTATATTTCCTTACTTGTTGAAAATTAATTGATAAAAGAACAATATTAAATACGCAGTAAGTTTTAAAACTGCGTCACATTTTTGAACAAAAATATTCAAAAAAAAAAAAATTTAAAAAGGCAACAATTGTAATATCAAACCCACTGTATTGTATAGCACACCTTTAATTTTAAATTTTTTTACAAACGTGCCTTCATTATTAAACAAAAATGACCATTTTAATCCTTAAATTTAATTTTATTTAATTAAGATGAATTAAAATTGAAATCGTTAAGGTATTTTATTAGGTTATGTACGGGCGTTAAGCAAAACAGATAATTTGTTGCTATTGTTGCCTTGAACTATCTAATATTTTATACCATTTTGTTAAATAATTTTAAATTTTTTTCAAAGTATTATTAACAATTTAATAATACTACGTTCTTTTAAACATTTTAGGTCTAACTTTATTGGAATGTAAAAAGAAGACGTTATGATGAAAAAAATATACAATTTCAAGATAACAAGTTTGATTAAATATGAAATAATAAAAAAATATTTCCTGAATCTCTATTTTTTGTGGGATCTTTCTTTAACATTATAACTGTTATATATCTATTATACAGTACTACCATTTATTACTCGTATACAATTCTAGTACTAATATATTATACGATTATTATAAACAATTTTTTTGAAATTTTTATAATGGAACGAACGAATTTTTAAATACAATTAGTTGTTTTATACAAAAAGGATTAGGGAGAAATTTTAAATGTTAGACATACATACATTATTGGATGTCCAATATATTAAAAAATTAGATACTAATTAAGTATAAAATAAATTGTAATAAATATTCGCCTATGAATCATTAGAATCATCCATTCTATGATTCAGTCATGCACTCGAACTCATAAGGAGATAAACAACGTAATTTAATTGCACATTTTTATAAAAATAGAACAGATAAGTTTTCTTCTCTTTTTTTTTTCTCAAAATTATTTCCTACGCAACGCAAGAAGTATACGAATGTGGTATATACAGTGCCATTGTCATATATTAATGATAATATTTGTTTTGTTTTCCCCCCATTTTTTTTTTTATTTTTCCTTTTATTTATATTTATTCAATAAATAATTGACTTTAATAGTTATACAATATTGATTTTAGGATTCATTCATTCAATCCTTTTACCTTTAACACGTAATTTAAATTGGTCATGTTATACAAATATAAAAATCTATATACGTGATATGATGGTATATGGGTATAAGTGTACCATAAAATGTAGGTTGCTTACTCTATCGGTACATATAGGAGATTTTCATCACTTGATATTTTATGTACATATGTATACATGTATAACAATATTATAATTTAATGAAAAGGAAAATAAGAATGGTAAACAAAAACAATAACAACAAATTATTTTGTATATATGTGTGGTAAAAATGTTACCTTTTATTTTTTTAAATTATTTCACATCTATTTATTTATATTATTATTATTTTTTCTTTATTACCTTTATTCTGATTGGTAATCTTTGGTAAGGAAGAAAAACGACTTACATACCTACGAATTTACTTATTTGTATTTTCCATATAAACTATTTATTTATTTTTGTTATCTTTTTTTGGTTGATATTTTTGTATAAAATTATTTATATAATTTATTTTCCTTTCTATTATGTAATATAGTCTGATTTCAAATGTATTACAATTTATTTTTAGTTAAGAAATGTGAGAAAATTCATTACAATTGTAAAGCAATTCTTATAATTCTTATAAACAAATGAGAATTTTCAAGTTAGTTTAATATTTTTTTTTTGAATTTATGGAATTTTATTACCTTCTTTAAAGGATAAATAGCTTACTAATTCAATAATATTGAGTGTGAGTGGCAGAAAAAATCATCACAATTGTATTTTAAGTATGACTTAAGCAAATTGTACTAAATTTTTACACTGTCATACAAACAGTACAAACAATAGTAAAATCAAAATATCTCAGGTAAAACTTGATATAGAAATTTAGTAAAATCACATTAAAACTCACTTTAGACTCAATAACAGTGAAATTAATAAATAGAAGTTAACACATTTGTACTGTAGTTGCTTAATTAATTTAATGTTAAGATTGAACAAGTGGTCGAACACAAAAAGTTATTAACATTACAAAAACTTCATGTAAAAAAAAATTTTGAAGAATTTTTGTATACTATAAAAATAATGAATTTTATGGGACACACACATGTATGAACAAGAAAATATGATTGTATTGCTGAATTACAGTTCAATATTACTGTCAAGCTAATTCAAAATTACAATTTAATTAAAAGCTCTTAGTTTAATCCTTGTTGAAAAACATAATTTTTTTTGATACTCGTATTATATTGCTTAAAAATTATGTATTTCTATCTTGTTTACTCCTAAATTTAGGCAATTTTTTCGTTTTATTTATTATCACTATTAGTGTTTCTACATTTGTGTTGTTTTTACCCTTATTATTATATTTATAGCAATTTAAAACTTCATTAATAATACAATAGAATTTAAAAATCGCAAGTCTTACTAATTACCATTTTTAGTCTATTAATTATCAATTTGCCGCACTTTTAGACGATAAAGGTATTACAAATGACCTTTCAATCTTCACAAATAAAAATTTTTAGCTATCAATTTTATTTTAATTCGAAAATCATTTAAAATGCTTCCGTTCAATAACTATATTCCTGAATTCTACATAATTGTGTGGAACTTAAAAAAAATTGTAATAATTTTCTTATTAAATACAAAATTTATTATTAATCTCTTAACTATATACAAAACATTTTATTGAATATTTTAATATTACTTATTCATTAATAGGAAATAATTCATCCCAAACTACAAGTCGATCTTCATTTGGTGGATCACTCGTTTCACATGCTTCATTTATATAAAATGTTTTAATATTTCGTTTTGTTGTTGGAGTCCAATATGTTTCACATATAATTTCTCTTTTATTATTCTTTTTCATATTAGGATTACCAAATCTAGCAAAATTTATTAAATATTTATTAAGTTTTTTCATCATATTATAATCTGAATCATTTCTATTTTGAAATACCGGAGCACAATCATTAAAATTAAATAGATAGATGAGTGTGTCATCATGGTGTACAAAATATGGTTTACCATTATTATCTTTCGTGGCACATGAATAATTTCCTTTATAATCAAATCTATAATAATAAATATTAATATATTGACTTGCCAAATGAACTAATCTATGTACACTGAAATTAATTACAGCATCACTAAACAAATCACCTAATTTTGTTTTACTTTCAATATTAATTTTTTCATTATTAAAATAACTTTGTTTAAATCGATTACTTATATAATCTGATTGATTAGAGTTACCATATCCAAATAATTTTGGAGCTATATTATTAAAATTTTCACTAATATCATTTAATAATTCTGTATTATTTGATAAAATATAACCTTGATCTTTATATTCATCTTTTGTTATACCAATTATAATTGGTACTTTATGAAATTCACCTATTTTAAATAAAATTACAGGATGATTAATCATAAATTTTTCTTGACCAAAATTTTTTTCAATTTCGTAATTCCATTCTAAATCTGGAAAACAATTTCCATCCCATTTTGCACCAATTTCTATTAATTTTTCCCATGGTTTTTTGCGTAAACATTTAATCATTTCATCATTATGATCAATTGGACATTCAACTGATTTAGCAAGAATTTTTGTTAAATTAACATTATTAGTAGGCCATTGTGATGTTGTTGATCCACTTAATGCAACAATTCTATGAAATAGATTTTTTGACATAGGCGATACTAAATGTAATGTTGCAGACATTGCACCAGCACTATGTCCAATTAATGTTACTGAATTCGGATTACCACCAAAATAATGAATATTATTTTGAATCCATTTCAATACTAAAACTTGATCTTTAAAACCATAATTTCCGGTAGCATGTTTACTTCCGCTACTTATAAATCCTAATGGTCCTAATCTATAATTAAATGTAACTAAAACGATATCATTATCGAGTAAATATTTTGGTTTATAACTAAAACTATTTCCACTGCCATATTTATATCCGCCACCATGTATAAAAACTAATACAGATGAATTACCATCCATTGATTTAGTGTAAACATTTAATGTTAAACAATCTTCTGATATTGTTAAATCTTTAATTTCATTTAAATTTTTTATTGGTTGTGGACAAATATGACCATCTCTTCTTGCATCCAATAAATTATTCCATTTTCCATATGGTTCAGGATCTTTAAAACGTTTTCTACCAACTGGTGGTTTAGCATATGGTATACCACGAAATGAGTAAATATCGTGACCATTATTACTCTTTAATATTCTTCCTAAAATTTGTAAATTAGAATTTATAATTTCACCATTTTTTTCAATTTTTGTTGCTTCACATGAAATAAATGACAAAAATATTATTGTAATTTGTAATGACAAATTTACAAATAATAAAATTAATGAAAATTTCTTCATCTTATCAATTCAATATATTGGAATACAACTGGAATTGGCTAAAATATTTTGGTTTTTAAAATGATAACTTTTTGATTTTGACATATTGAACTTGAAATAAAATTATTATCAGTAGTATTGAGAGAGATACAGAATAAGAGAGAGAGAGATAGAATGATCGTTTTGAACCAATTAAAGTAAAATTACATGAAATTGTGTTTCGAATGTTTACAATTTCAATTTATTCCAATTTATTAAATGTTAAATACAATATACAACTGTAATATCAACTGTAGCAGCCAGAAGACACATACATATACACATACACATTGTGTCATCGTAGCTATTAGGCTATTAAATATTCAATTTATTTATTTTATAGTAAATTAGAGCCAGCAACTTTTCTTATCACGATTATTGCCCTACTTTTTATACTACGCGGTTAGTATAATGTCTTTATAATCTCTTAAAGTGTTATAGTAATTTCATAATAAATATAATTTAACAGATTATAAATTTATTCAATTATATTTATGTTGTGTATTAAATAACAAATTTGCAACCACGTGCTCTCTGTATCATGTATGAATCCGAGAAAACGAAAAAATGTTTGTTTTTCAAGGTTGCTATTTTAATTTCAAATGTAATAGTGTCATAATATAGTTCATATTTTAATCGCAGTGAATATTAAATAGAAAAATATTTCCAAATACAATTTCTATTTACATAAAATAAATTTTGGAATAAAATTAATATTATTTAATCTCATAACTTGAACTTGAACTTCTGCAAAATTTTATATTTTGTTTTGGAAAATTAAATTTCTTAATATGTAGTCGTTCATATAATCAACACAATCAGATCTTAATTTACATAATTTTTATTTAAGTGGAAAAGTATGTATGTACATTTAATAAAGATTTTGGCAGTGTTATAAAACAAACTTTTAAGTATTTCCGAATAAATTGCCTTTTTAAGGGAATTGCAAGCATTGTAAGCATTGAGAAGCTCTGGTAAATATCGAATACATATTTCAATTTGTAGTTAGAAAAAAATTAATTTTAGTTCTGCCATTTGAAAAAAAAAAATTGCAAGTTCGTAATGGACCATAAGCTACAAGAGATTATACTTGAGTTAATATCAAAAAAAGCCATAATCGAAATGAGCACTATTTTCTTAATATTCCAGAATAACTTCTATTAAAGTGCATCAAAATCTGAATTTTCAAATGTATGCCTCACGTCTAACAAGTAATTTCATTCACATTCATGTTTGATTTAAATTCAAACATGTTCAAACGAAAACATATGCAAATTTAAAATTTTTATAAAAAATTCAAAAATTTATTTTATTTCATAATCCATATTAATCCATTGAGAAAATATTTCATACTAGCGTACAATTATAGTTCTTTATCACTAACTGGAAATAGTTTATCCCAAACTGCAAATATCTTTTTATTATGTGGTTCACCCATCGAACATGTTTTATCAATATGGAACATTTTCATATCATCTTTTGTCGATGGTAACCATTTTGTTGTGCATATTGGTTCATCTGTATTTCCATTAGGATTACCATAATTCGATAAATTCACAATATATTTAGTAAATTTTTTCGTTACTTGTAAATCGTCTTCAACATCAGTAAAATCATCAGTACATGTCTCATAACCAAATAAATAAATTAAAACATCACTGTGATCTACATATAATGGTTTACCATTATTATCTTTCGTGGCACATGAATAATGTCCTGCATAATCTAATCTAAAATAATAAACATCTTCATATTTACGTGCCAAATCAACTAATCTATGAACACCATAATTTATTAAAGCATCACTAACTATATCACCTATTCCTTTTTCGGATGAAGTGTCAATTTTTCCACCATTAAAATAAAGTTTTCGAAGCTCATCACTAATATGATTTGCTTTATCAGTACCAGGTGGATGGTAACCAAATAAGAAAGGTGCAACATTATTAAAATTTGTATCCATTTCATTTAATAAATTTGGTCGTTTAACTGCTTTAGGTCCTCGTTCAGCAAATTCATCTATAGTAATACCGGTAATTATAGGTACTTTATAAAATTCACCTTTTTCAAATAAAACAGATGGATGTTCTATCATAAATCTTTCTTGTCCAAAATCTTTTTCTAATTCAACATTCCATTGCATATCTGGCATTTGATTTTCATCCCATTTAGCACCTACTGCTATAAAATCTTCCCATGGTTTTTCACGTAAGCATTCAATCATTTTTTCATCACTATCAATTGAACAATTAACTGATACTGCTAATTTTTTGGTCAAATCTTCATTATAAAGTGTCCATTGATTTGTTCCGGAACCACTTAATGCAACTGCTCTATGAAAAAGATTTTTTGACATTGGTGATACCATATGAAGTGTTACTGACATTGATCCAGCACTATGACCAATTAATGTTACTGAATTTGGATTACCACCAAAACGATGAATATTATTTTGTATCCATTTTAAAGCTGTAACTTGATCTTTAAGACCATAATTTGATGTAGCTTTCTCAGTTCCACTATTAACAAAACCGAGTGCACCCAATCTATAGTTGAATGTAACTAATACAACATCTTCATCAAGAATAAATTCTGGTGCATAATGATAACTATGTGCAGTACCATATCTTAATCCACCACCATGAATAAAAGCAAATACAGTTTTATTACCTTCCATTGATGGTGTATAAACATTAATAGTTAAACAATCTTCAGACATTTTTAAATCACCGAGCTCATTTAAATCATTTTCAATTTGAGGACAAATTGCACTATCTTTTGTTGCATCCAATATTTCATTCCATTCTCCATATGGTTCAGGATCTTTAAAACGTCTTTCACCAATCGGTGGCTTAGCATATGGTATACCACGAAAAGAATAAAATGATTTACCACCATGACTTTTCATAAGAAGCCCCTTCAGTTTTAAATCGGAATTTATAAAAACATCTGAATCAGGAATAGTTCCGCAAACAGAAAATTTGGCAAATATAATTAATTTCGCCAAAGTTAATAAAATTATAAAACTAAATTTTTCCATTTTTAGTTGATGAATATTGTAAAGCAACTGATTTAATTATTTTAAGATGAGGAGTTAAATAGGATTATTTTAGCATGAAATGAATCTGTGATTTTAGTGCAACATGATATGTCATCATTATTTGAATTGCAGTAAAACTACTTTATTTTTGTGTTTAAATATTAATTTTTGTTATTTGTGCTTTCTTGTCTTTTACCTTTCTTTATTCGTAAATGAATCTTATATTATTCGAAATTAAATCGTTAGAAATTTGAGTAAAACTTGAAAATCTATTGGCTAAGTCGATATTCTTAATCTTAGCTTAAGTCTACATCAAAGTTATAATTGAAACTAATCGTAAAATTATCTGCAAATCAATTTAGATGTAGAAAAATTGAAGTAATTGATTAGCTCTTTTATATTTACCCGATAAATCAAAAATTTTTTGGTAAAATATTTGGGTTGGAATATCAATTGACCCAGGTTTTCTGCAATACCACTCAAATTTACCCAAATAATTCTACTACATTTAAATTAAAATTATATAATAACGACAACACTGTTAAAACCATTAATACAAAGAATATTATTTAAAAATTATCATATTGCTCTTATCAAATTTTGACTCCTTTTAAAATATTATTTTGTTTATTTTGCATTTTAAACCCTAATATATTTAGATTAACATAAAAATTAGACCTTAAATTTAATTTATTATAAACACCTACATGACATTTGCAAAAATAATTTTTATTAAAATAAAAACTTGAGATTATTATTAATCGTACATTACGTAACGCAAATTGAAATATTTTAATTTCCATTTTATATCATCTCTCTCCTAAATCATCTCTCACATAAAATTTTATATACAGCGATTTTTATTTAAATTTTTGTATTAATTTTTAAAAATTTAGAGATACATATGTATATTCTAAAAATCCAAAGCCATCTCTAAAAATCAAGTAAAAGCCATCTAAGCGTCTCCAAAAATAAGAAGAATTTATTCAAAATGAGAATATGTCAACTCTGTTATAGTGCCAGTCCCATACTCGCAGACGAATTATTGAGAGAGTTATTAAGAGAGCAAATTGAAATTAAAAGAGAGTTTTCACAGTCACAATTTCGGCCATAGTTTCTTCAAATAAAAACCAGGAAGCACACATAAATTAACAATTATTAGAGTTATATGGTTAGGTATGGTAAAAACTTAAAAAATTTAAAAAATTTCGGCTGAATTATACCTTATGCGAACGAACATATTCAAACAGAGAGGACTAAATAAATCTGCATTAAAATTTGAATGGAATTCATAGTACAACATACGAACGTCGGTCTCATACCTGAAAATATTTTAATTTAGTAAGCTACATGTAGTGTTATACCTGAATTACTAGAAATCAGGAATAACACTATGGTGTCAAATCGGAATATAATAAATTACCACTGCAATTGTGTTAGAAGGGTTGTTAAAAGAAGCTGTTGTGAATAATGTTATCAATTTTAATGAATTTAAATTATAAAAAAAATTCTATTCTCAATTTTTATTAATAAGTTCTATGAAACAACTACTGATTGCATTTCTTTCAACACTTTTATATAAATTCAATTATCCACACCAGTAGGAAACAATTCATTCCAAATAGTAAACCTGTCCTCATATGGTGGAACATCTATTTTACATAAATTTTCATCTATATAAAGTGTTTTAATATTATTTTTTACAGATGGTAACCAATCAATTGAACACATTAATTCATTATTATTCATTGTATTTACATTAGGATCACCAGATCTTGAAAAATTCACCAAATATTGAATAAATTTCTTCGCTACAATATACTCAGGAGTAGTTTGATTGAATTTAGGAGCACAATTTTTGTAATTAAATAAATATATTAAGAGATCATCATGATGAATGTAACCAGGTTCACCATTTTTATAATATGAACATGTATAACGTCCTTTATAATCAAATCTATAATAATAAACATCGATGTACTGACTTGTTAATTGAACAAACCGATGAACACCAAAATTAATGAGAGCATCACTAAATAATTCACCAAATTCTGTTTCTGTTGATATTCCAATTTTTTTATCATTAAAATAAAGTTCTTTCAATCTTTTACTAATTGATAAAGTTTTATCATTTTCAGAAATTCCATAACCAAAAATTTGTGGTGCTAAATTATAAAAATCATCATTAATATTATTCAAGAAATGTTCATTTAATGTTATAAAATATCCTTTATCTTTGTATTCATCTTTTGTTATACCAGCTATTACAGATACTCTATTAAATTCACCTTTTTCAAAAAGAACTGTTGGATTTTCAATAATAAATCTTTCTTGACCAAAATCTTGTTCAATTTCATAATTCCATTCCATATCTGGTAAATAATTTTCATCCCAATTACCTGCAATAGCAATTATTTGTTCCCATGGTTTTTCACGTAAACAATCAATCATTTCACCACCATTATCATATGGGCATTGAACAGACTTAGCTAAAGTTTTTGTTAAATTAACATTATCAACACGCCACTGATTTGTTGTTGATCCACTCAATGCAATAATTCTATGAAAAAGATTTTTTGACATTGGTGATACCATATGTAATGTAACAGACATAGAACCGGCACTATGTCCAACCAAAGTTACTGAATTTGGATTACCACCGAAATGATGAATATTATCGCGAACCCATTTTAAAACTAAAACTTGATCTTTAAAACCATAATTGCCGGTAGCATCTTTAGTTCCACTACTAACAAAACCGAATGGACCCAATCGATAATTAAATGTTACTAGTACAATATCTTCATTTAAGAAATATTCTGGTTGAATATGTAAACTATTACCGGTTCCATATCTTAATCCACCACCATGTATAAAAACAATAACACTTTTATTACCCACCATAGATGATGTATAAACATTTAATTTAAGACAATCTTCTGTTATTTTTAAATGTGGCACATCATCTAATGCAGTATCTTGAATATCTTTGGGTTGTAAACATGCGCTTACATCATTTGTTGCATCTAATATCTCGTTCCATGCTTCAATTGGTACAGGATCTTTAAAACGTCTATCACCAATTGGTGGTTTAGCATATGCTATTCCACGAAAAGCATAAAAATGTTTATCTTCTCTTGTTTTCAAAATACTTCCTAAAATATTTAAATTGTAATTCAATACAGTTCTTTCATCAGAAATATTTTCATTCGAAACAGAATTTTCGAAAAGCATTGATAAGACAACCAAAATAATAAAAATAGATCCGAAATGTTTCATGTTGCCGGTGTAAAAATGAAACAAAACTGATCTCGTATTTATTTTTTAGTTAGAATTTTAAAAAAAAAACTAACTAATAATTTTTCCAAGTTCATATTTCGTTATCTCCTTAAAAAAATTTAATAAACATTTACAAATTTTACAAATAAATTTTACAAATAAGTTGAGCAATCAAGCACCATTTGAGATTCCTGGAAATTGTATTGATAATAGTTCTGGTCTCCAGTAAGTTTGGAAATGTTTATATTAATTAAAATTAAATACAGGAAATAAGATACGCAAGGGGGAAGAGTTAAGTTACTCAAACCAATGGTTTTTAGAGTAGCACGCATTATGTTAATATTTAAAATAAAAAATTGACAGAAATTTTCAGAACTTTCGAAGACAAGAATTTTCAACACTTTTACTAATATAACATTAGACAAGCAGTGATTTTACCTGGAAGAGATTTAATCTTAATTTTTGATAACAACACAATATATTTTTCTTATCATTAGAAATTCCAAACAGCTGGTCAGTTCACAATCAATAACTGCCCGAGAATTTCAATATGTCTATCTACAACTCTGGTATTGATGAAAACAGTGAATTCGAAGAGGTAACCTGACATTTTATAATATTATTTTTTTCGGATAGAGCAAGTTAAGAAATTTCTACGATTACAGAATTATAAAAATCGTCATGTATTTTGCACGCAATCAATTTTCTTAATCATAATAAATTTTCTTAGAGACGTACAGGATGACAAACGGTCGAAAAATGTTGAAAATTTACTAAAAATTAAAAATATTCACAGTAAAAAATTCAAAACTATAAAATTAATGTCATATTCAATTGATTGCTTTCACACTTCGAAGTGGACTTTTACAAACCAGGCAATTAATAAAAATATTACAATAAAAATTTTCACTTTTAACCTGCAACTGGTGAGAAAAATGCTAAAGTCTAAGTAGTTATCTTTAAATTAAGTAATTAACCGTAACATGAAATGTGCCCATGAAGCTTATAAAAGATTCGCAGTAAATTAAAATTTCATTAAGCTTTTCTACTTCTTCATTCATTATGAAAAATTAATAATTATGAATTTTCGTAATGCACAAATAAAAGTTACTAAAAATTCACTGAGCTCTTAAATTCATTCAAAGTGAGGTCATACTCACCTTGAAATTTCAAAACGCGTTTGCTATTTACTAACAATAATAAACTCATGAAATGATAAAAACTTTTTTGAATTTATTTCTTGTGTCTTTTCTTTAACTTAAGCAAATCTTAGTTATTTTCTTTGATTGGAAATAATTCGTCCCAAAGGGTAAGCCTGTCTTGATATGGTGGTTCATCAACTTTTGAAATTTCATTAATATAGTAAGTTTTTATATTTTCTTTTGTAGACGGTGTCCAATAAGATTCATCATCTTTACTCTTATCACCATTAGGATTGCCGGATTGTGCAAAATTTTTTAAAAATTTAATAAATTTCTTCATCACTAAATATTCAGGATCTTCTTTTTTAAATTCTGGTGCACAATAAGGATAAACGAAAAGATAAAAAAGAATATCTCCATGATAAACATAAAATGGTTCACCATAACTTTTACTATATGAACATGTATAACGGCCTTTATAATCAAATCTATAGAAGTAAACATCAATATGTTGACTTGCCAATTGTACAAATCTATGAACGCCATGATTAATTAAAGCATCACTAAATAAATTACTTAAATTTGTTTCGGTTACAACTCCAATTCTTTGATCTTTGAAATAGAAATCTCTTAAACGTTCACTAATTGTCTTTGATTCTTCTACATCAGAATAATTATAACCAAGGCAATTTGGTGCTACCTTATTAAAATTTTCATTAAATTCATTCAAAAGATATGTGTCTAAAATAATTTTATGACCTTGATCTGCAAATTCATCTCTTGTTGTTCCTATAATTACTGGTATTTTGAAGAAATTCCCATTTCTATATAATACTGATGGATTTTCATTAATAAATTGCTCCTGACCAAAATCTTTTTCAAGTTCAACATTCCATTCTAAATCTGCTAATCCATTTTCATCCCATTTTGAACATGCTTCTATAATATCTTCCCACGGTTTTTTACGTAAACATTCAACTAATTCCTTACTATCATTTACTGGACAATTGACAGATTCTGCCAAAGTTTGAGTTAAATGTGAATTTTGACCTTTCCAATGATGTGTTGAAGAAGCACTCAATGCAATTACTCTATGAAAAAGATTTTTTGACATTGGTGATGCCATGTGAAGTGTAGCAGATATAGCACCGGCACTATGTCCAATTAATGTTATTAAATCGGGATTACCACCAAAACCTTTGATATTATCACGAACCCATTTTAATACCAAAACTTGATCCTTAAAACCAAAATTTCCAGTAGCCTCTTTAGAATCAGTTGAAAGAAATCCAAATGGTCCTAATCTATAATTAAATATAACGAAAACAATGTCCTCATCTAGCAAATATTTTGGATTATAAATTAAACTGTTTCCTGTACCATATTTAAAACCACCACCATGTATATAAACCAATACGGGTTTATTATCTTCCAGAGATTTTGTATAAACGTTTAATGTTAAGCAATCTTCTGACATTGTTAAATTAAATTCATTATACATATTTTGTGGACATAGATTTCTATCTTTTCTAGCATCTAATAAACCTTCCCATTCTCCATACGGTTCAGGATCTTTAAAACGCCTTTCACCAATTGGAGGTTTAGCATATGGTATTCCACGAAATGCAAAAAAATCTTTACCCTCTTCAGTTGTTAAAATTTTACCAATGATTTGTAGATCAGCACTTTTTATGTCGTCATCAGCAAGAGAAATATCTTCACATAAAATAGACGACGAAAATAAAATCAGCGCGATGCTGATTTTAAAAATAAAATATGCGAGCAATTTCATTTCTACAGTTTTAATCGATCGTTCCGCTCTTACTAAACACTCACTCAATAAACATATTTTTTGAGAGTCTATCTTCAAAGTGAATGCATTTTATTAATTGAATGTTATCAATAAAATAAATGTTGAGTGTTGACAATTATATTTAAATAGAGTAGCCTTACAAAAAAATGTTCATAACTTGATTTGCAACATAGTCTAGAGAAAAGAGAGAAATTCAAGGAAAATTTCTAGTCTTCACTGATTATGTAAAGTTTTTAACTAATTTTATAGTGTAAGGGAAACATTCAAACTTTAAAATTTCATAATTCCATAAAAAAAAACATAAAAAATTTATTATTTTAGCAATTAATACAATTCACAATGTGAGGTGATAAAAATTTTTTTGTTTATGCGACGAAAAATTGAAAATTAAAATAATTCTTTCACATTTCTACTACAATACAGTTATAATTATAAATATCTACTACATTAGATTTTGAAAGAAATGGTAACACTGATTGAAACTTTAAATTATTCGTTTGCTTTTGTAATAAGCATAAAATTTGTATCAATTTTAAAAACTGAGCTTTTTTTTAAATTCAAAGAAAATTGTATCTTTTTATGACGAAAGCAATGTTTTGTTGTCATTTATTTTCGAGTTTCACGACAAATTTATGAGTACAAGTGTGTATAAACAAATTCAGAATTATTTTTCCTGTTAAGCGATGACGGTATTTGCAAAAGTGTGTTATGCTTATTGAAAATTTCAGACTTAGCAAAAACGTGAACTTCATTTGTCTTTTTTTTGTTTGTTCTTGAGTTTATGTTGAAATTCTATTACTTTTCTGTAATTGGAAAGAGTTCATCCCAAAGAGTAAGTCTATCCTGGAATGGTGGCCCATCAATTTTTGAAATTTCATCAATATAGTAAGTTTTTATATTTCCTTTCTTAGATGGCACCCAATATAATTCATCACCTTTGTTTTTATCGCCATTAGGATTGCCTGATTCTGCAAAATTTATTACAAATTTTATAAATTTTTTCATTATTAAATATTCGGGATCTTCTCTTTTAAATTCTGGTGCACAATTTGGATATTCGAATAAATAAAGAAGAATATCTACATGATCGATATAAAATGGATCACCATTTTCTCTTGGTGATGAACATGTATAACGTCCTCTATAGTCAAGTCTAAAGAAGTAAACATCAATATATTGACTTGCCAATTGAACGAAACGATGAACACCATGAACTATTAAAGCATCGCTAAATAAATTACCTAGATTTGTTTCTGTTTCAAATCCAATTTTTTGATTTTTAAAATAAAAATCTCGTAAATGGTAACTAATATTTTTTGATTCTTCCATATTAGAAAAATTATAACCAAAATATTGTGGTGCTAACAAGTCAAAATTTTCATTCAATTCTGCCACAAGTTTTGAATTCAATAAAAACTTATAAGCTTGATTTGCCATTTCATCTTTTGTTATACCTATTAAAACTGGTATCTTAGAAAATTCTTCATTTTTATATAATATAGATGGATCTTTGGTTATAAATCTGTCTTGACCAAAATCTTTTTCAATTTCAACATTCCACTCCAAATCTGCTAATCTATTTTCATCAAATTTTACGCATGCTTCTATAATTTCTTTCAATGGTCTTCCACGTAAACATTGAACCATTTCCTGGCCATCATTTTCTGGACATTGAACTAATTCTGCTAACTTTTGAGTCCAATAAAAATTTTGTGCTTTAAAATGATGAGTTGCTGATCCACTCAAAGCAATTAGTCGATGAAAGAGATTTTTTGACATTGGTGATACCATATGAAGTGTGGCTGATAAAGCGCCGGCACTATGTCCAATTAATGTTACTAAATCTGAATTGCCGCCAAAATGTTTAATATTATCGCGAACCCACTTTAAAACTAATACTTGGTCCTTAAAAGCAAAATTTCCAGTTGCATCTTTGGAATCACTCGATAGAAAACCAAATGGTCCTAATCTATAATTAAATGTTACTAAAACAATTTCTTCATCCAATAAATATTGAGGGCCATGAACTAAACTACTTCCGCTACCAAATTTGTATGCACCACCATGTATATAAACCAAAACAGGTTTGTTACCATTTTGCATTGATTTTGTAAAAACGTTTAATATGAGACAATCTTCAGAAAATGTTGAATTTGACAGTTTACTCGGTTGCGCACATTCATTGCCATCTTTTCTCGCATCTAGTAAGCCATTCCATTTTCCATATGGCTCAGGATCTTTAAAACGTCTTTCACCAGTCGGAGGCTTAGCATATGGTATTCCACGAAAGGCAAAATAATCTTTACCGTTATACGTTTTTAAAATTTTTCCAACGATTCGTAAATTATTATTTATCACATCATTATTATTAACGGTATAGAGATCTTTGGATAAGACACACGAGGCGAATAAAAACAATGTAAAAATTTGAAAATAATATTTTAAAAATTTCATTTTTTGTGCTGTGTGCGCTCGATAATTTTGATTTTACTAAATAAATTTTAAAAAAATCCATAACTTAAATGAGATTTCTTAATGAATTAGAAAAGATAAAATGTTATCACTTAAAATATTTTACATGAAAAAGTAAGTAGAACAGTTTTACATGTTGATTGATTGAGTAAAATAAAATAATTACAATTTATCTTATTCGTCAGATTGCAGTATACATGTTACGAGGTCAATTAGTTAGTTGGTAAAAAGGACAGGGGGGAGAGGTGTCCACTCAATACTAGGTCAAGAGAGGGCCCATATTCTCGCAGAAAGCGTCTTCTTCTTCGCATCAGAGCGGGTCACTCACAAATCATCTGTAGTACATCCTCCACCACATCGATGTTTCGACATCTCCTCCGAACATCCGATAAGAAAATGTCCAGCATCCTTACCATCTTTTTTAACGTTAAAGAGATGTAAAATAAAATTAATTTTTTCAGAATTATTTGACTTTTCGTTTACGATTTAAGAATTTGTTGCTTAATTCTCAAAATGTATCCCGTAAAATCATCAACTCTTAGCCAAATTACAACTAATTATAAGCAGAGCAGTTATTACGCCACAACAGTTAAAAGCAAAAAGCGTTGAGTATTAAACTTTATAATTCAGCAGATGGCTCGATAGTTTAAAAAAAAAACAGCAATAACAACAGAGACGGCATCTTTTATAAAGCGTCTTACTTAATTAATTTAAACCGTTAATCTTAAAATTCCAAAATTCTTAAAATTTTCACATTATCGTTGAAATCTTGAAAGTTTCAAGTAAAAAATTAACATTCTGTAAGCATCCAACTTTAAGATTACTCAAAGTACTAACTCAAAGAGAATCTAATCTGACATTAATACCAGTCATTAAGGTGCTTTAGAAATATTTGATTTTTAATTGCTTTTATATAATCAGCGTTAAATTATAATTATGTTTGATTTAGTAATTAGGCGTATAATTATGCTTTTTATGACAGAAGTAATTGTCACTTTTACTTCATTTATTTTCAATTTTAGAAATTTTTCAAGTTGAGCTTTAAGTAAATAAATAAATGAAATGACATTCACTTTTTATTGTTTCTAATTTCAAGAGGATTTCTTATTTAAATTTGAAGTTCAAGGTTGTCATGTAATTGTTTGCGTATTAGGTAAGAAGAAAAACTTATATACTTAAGAGAATTTTATTAAAGTCCAAATGTAAATTCGGGCTACACTCATTCGTTCAAATTACAAAAATTTCAAATTTTTTTAAAAACAAAATTAAAAATTTATTGATAACATGATGAAATTCAAATATTTTAAATATAAATTCAAATTGTTCAGCAAAATATTGTATAGAAAGTGTACGAATTAACGGTGAAAGATCACTGCAATAGGCTACTAACTGTCGAACTTTATAAATAGTTTTTAAATTAAAATCGAAAACACTAAACTTTTTAATTAACTAACAACCTATTAAACAATTTCGTTTGTATTCCCACTAAGTTCCTTAATTGTGTGGAATTGGGAATAGTTCATCCCAAGCAGTAAGCCTATCTTGATATGGTGGTCCATCAAGTTTTGAAATTTCATTAATATAGTAGGTTTTTATATTTTCTTTTGTAGACGGCGCCCAATATAATTCATCATCTTTACTCTTATCACCATTAGGATTTCCGGATTCTGCTAAATTTGTTACGAATCCAATAAATTTCTTCATCATTAAATATTCAGGATCTTCATTTTTTAAATCTGGTGCACATGTATGATATGCAAATAAATAAAGAAGAATATCTTCGTGATACACATAAAATGGTTTGTTATCACTTGTGTAATATGAACATGTAAAACGTCCTTTAAAATCAAATCTATAGAAGTAAACATCAATATGTTGACTTGCCAATTGAACAAAACGATGAACACCATGAATTATTAGAGCATCACTAAATATATTACCTATACTTGCTTCTGTTTCAATTCCAATGTTTTGATCTTTAAAATAAACATTCTTTAATTTTTCACTAATCTTATTTGCTTCATCAATATCAGAAGAATTATAACCAAAATATATTGGTGCTACATGATTAAAATCTTCATTAAGCTCCTCTAATAATTTTGTATTCAATATAATTTTATGACCTTGATCTGCAAATTCATCTTTTGTAATTCCAACCATAACTGGAATTCTACTAAATTCACCATTTTTATATAATACAGATGGATGTTTTGTTATAAATCTCTCTTGACCATAATCCTTCTCAATTTCAACATTCCATTCGATATCAGCTAAACCATTTGCTTCCCATTTAAAACATGCTTTTACAATTTCTTCCCATGGTTTTCCACGTAAACATTTAACCATTTCCTCACTATCATTTACTGGGCACTTAACCATTTCTGCTAATTTCTGAGTCCAATACAAATTTAGGGCTTTCCAATGATGTGTTGCTGCTGCACTTATTGCAACTATTCGATGAAAAAGATTTTTTGACATTGGTGATGCCATATGAAGTGTAGTTGATAAAGCACCGGCACTATGTCCCATTAATGTTACTAAATCGGGATTACCGCCGAAATGCTTAATATTATCCCGAACCCATTTCAAAACTAAAACTTGATCCTTAAAACCAAAATTTCCAGTAGCATCTTTGGAATCGCTCGAAAGAAAACCAAATGGTCCTAATCTATAATTAAATGTTACTAAAACAATATCTTCATCAAGTAGATGTTTTGGACCATTTATCAAACTATTTCCGCTACCATATTTGTAGGCACCACCATGTATGTAAACTAAAACGGGTTTATTACCTTCTAGAGATTTTGTGAAAACATTTAGTACTAGACAGTCTTCTGACATAGGTAAATTGTTTGGATCGTTAATTCCTTGAGGACAAACATTACCATCCTTTCGAGCGTCGTATACACCCTCCCATTTTCCATACGGTTCCGGATCTTTAAAACGTCTTTCACCAATTGGTGGTTTAGCGTATGGTATTCCGCGAAATGAAAAGTAATCCTTACCAGAATGTGTTTTTAAAATTTTACCAACCATTTGTTGATTTATATTTACAATATCGTTTTTTTCAACAACAGGATCATTTTCGCACGAAATTATTGAGAAGAAGAAAATTAACGCGACAATTTTAAGAAAAAAATATTTGAAAAAATTCATTTTAATGGTCGAACGTTGTTCTGTTACTGGCCGAGTTTTTTAAAAAACTCTGTAATATAAATGTATTTTTTATTATTTCTTCTGATCGAACAGGTGCTTGAAAAGTGTATACATTTTTATTGGAATGTAGTAATTTTACGTCATTCTTATAATTCTATTAAATTAACGGAATGAATCACATATTTTTTATAAAATGTTTTAGGTGCTGCAAATAGCAAACCTATTGTTGAATAACAAAAAAATTTTCAACATTTTTAGAGGAGTGCACCTTAAAAATTCCCTATACAGAAACCCAACGACATTGCAGAGTACTCGTATCTACTATACATACAAAGTAGTTTGAATTGATCACTCCACTACATTTAATAATTTAAATTTTTAATTTTCTTTTTTTGTTATTAACTTATTATTAGAAAACTTCTCATATTAATTATTCATTGTTTGTTTTTAAAATAATATTTGCTATTTCAAAATGACTTCGTAATTACTTCTATTCAAGGTCATCAGAAAATTTTAATTCAACTTAGGTAAATAAACCCGTTAATTCGTTTCACATTACATTTAGATTTTTGATATTCAATTTACTGAATACAATTTCATTTAGATAATTCTGCAAACTTTTATGGTTAACAGTAAGTTAAGACTGCTATGTTATTTTCTCAATCAGATTTCTCATTTTTTTCTCAACCAGAAAATAATGAGAGTACTTTCACCCAATTAAAATACATATTTGACAAAAATAACGTACGAAAAACATTTTGTCTTAATTAAAAAGTGGAAAATATTTTATAAAACTGAATTACACTAATTTCACTACTCACAATTCACTATAATTGGCGGCGCGCAACGTTCTAGTAATCGGCTCATTTCTACCATAATCCGTATTGCGGTGGCGAACATTGAAAAGCTCTGCCAACCTCAAATTAATTAAATTTTCCCTAAAAGGCGTCTGTTCAAACAGGTATACATATATATAACAGATATATGTAAATATAGATTTAAACTTCTTTATTTTTTAATATTATAAACTGATGATCAAATTCAATAGGTGACACTTCTAAATTTCATTTATCAAAATTAATTTTAAATTAATTCATTTTATAATTTTGCTTTTAATGAATTCTTATTTTGATAATTAAATTTTTGCTTGATGTATAGAACTAACAAAATTAAAACGTAAATATTTTTGAAAGTATGTATGAAATAATTACCTGCATCCGATTTACCATCTACTTGCAAATATAGTATAACATCTACTCGTTAGTCAGCATTGTATAGCCAACCTGTAATTTTAAATTTGTACATACACATGTCAATAAAATTTGTAAATTCAATATTCATTTTTAAGATTCATAAAATTTTATAATAATTTAATTAAACTGTTATACTTAAAAGAATATAACACTTTAAAAAATAACATTTTAAAAGTTTATCAAAAGTTGTATAAAAGTTCCATATCATTATGTATTTGGCAGTGTTATATTCCTAGAATGTTATACATTTAAAGTGTTATATTATCATAGTGAAACACTAAAATTTTATCAAAAATTTTTATATAAATCAAAATTCTTTATTAAAGATTCTACTTTTCACTTTAATTTTATTTTTTATTTAAAAGCAATAAATCATATCACAATGTTTTGTTATACAGCTTTATTAAGTATAAACATTGTGAATTGCATGATATAAAATAACTTTTTAGAGATTTACAATGCAAATAAATTTGTTATTAAAATTGTTTTTAATCAACCTTTCTCTTATTTTAGTTCACATACATAATCATATGTCATGTTCACGCACAACAAGCGTACGTAATTAATAGAAATTTTACTATATATTATTTACTCTCATATAGTCATATACATATAACTATTTTGACCTTATCAAATGTTTACGATATGGGGCATATAGAGATTTATAACATAACATACACAATATAATATATGATAAATAAAATAATTAAAATAATATAGACGAAGTTCACATTATTCAGATTATTTAAATAATCATAAGAAAAAACTAATATATTTGTATAAAATAGAAAAAATAGTTAAAAACAACAAGCTTTACCTTGTTTAGGATATCTGAAGTTAATTTTAAAATACAAGTTTATAAGATTAGAAAAATTCAATTGTGTAGGGTAATAAATATTCAATTTCATAGAATATAAGAGTTTTCATTTAGTATATAACACTCTTAAATGCCCCGAAGTAGTTGAGTTTGCAAAAACAATGCCATTTTGTATGAAAAGTGTATAGAAAAATAATCTAACTTGATATAAATTTTCATATAAAAATATTTTGGCCATTTTGGGATAGTTACAGGAGTGTTATACACTTGCTGTGTTATTTATTTAGATTTTATAGAATATTATATACCTTTAAATGGAACGGAGACAATTTCTACTTATTTTAATATTTTTAATTGTTTCATTAATAATTTTTATTAAAACTTCCTGTTTAAAATACAAAAGAGAAAACCTTAAGCACAATAGAAATGATTATTGAACTTTTATCATAATTATATTGTTACATATGAGGCAATTCATTCAATAAAATGTGTGTATATATGAACATACCGTTATACATATTTAAGATTTTAAGTCACTTGAAGCTTTTATAACCTAAGATTTTGAAATGTCATATACCGCAAATGATGTTATATGAATAGTAGAATAAAATTTATTCTGAAGTGCTTACCCACACATACATTTATTATTATTAATATTATTGTTATATAATGTACGCATTATATAAAAAAAAATAAATAAACACTTCTTAATATTGTTCTTACTACATCCTAAAATGTCAACAACTAAAAATACATACGTTTAAGAAATACTATTAAAAGAGTAAAAGTATTTTAGTATAATATACTTACAATTATATAACAGTTATCGGAATGAATTTTGTATGGAAACTTTTAAGATAATTTTAACAATTAATTTTTTAATTATATATGTATATAGAAATCCTATGAAATCTATAAATGAAAAAATCCTACACAAAGAGCTGCATCGTAAAAAAAAAGTAAAATTTTTAATTGAAATTTAATCCTAAAAGAAAAAAATAAAAGTAAAAATAAGTGGGAAGAGAAATGAAAAAGAAGTTTTTAAAGAAAATAATTATTTAATAGGAAAATAATTGCCAACAAATTTTATAATTAAAATTTATTAATAAAATAAAAATATTTAATTAAATTTTGTATTGAAGAATTACTTAAGCTCTAATTAAATTCATAATAATTGTTATAAAATCAAATTCTAATAAAAATTTTATTATTTCCAATCGGAATTCTCTACAAAATTTGATTTAATCAAATATAAATAATACACAGAATCAGAAATTTTACACTTACCCTTAATTTTGTAATTTTTTTACGTTCTGTTAAATCTACTAATTTAGATCGTATTTTGGATAATAAGATCGTTTTACGTTCAAAAATTAGCTTTGTGTTTTTGTCACTGAATTTTGTAAATTTAAACTAGCATGTAATTTTATTTAAATTTAAATCAAAATTTTTGAAGATTTAAAAAATTTGAGAATTAGTTTTGATTTAATTAAGTATAACAAATATATTTAATTAAAATTGTTATCAGCAAAACTAACTAATTTCGAAATTCAGAATTAAATATTAGAAACTATATGTCAAAGCAAAATGTAAATTTATTTAAATAAACTTTATATGCTTACCCCGATGGAAATGGAAATTTGCATATATTTTGCCTATACATATACAATTATACAAAAATTTATAATACCATATCAAATTTTTTTTAATTGTTCACTACAATAATGTTAAAATGACACCCTTAATTTTGTATATATATATATCCTATATATATATCCTATATATTCCATTATATTGAAATATTTTTGTAACCTTATTATTTCCGAATAACATTAAAATAATTTGTACGTGCAAGAATTTTATTTATTTTTCTTATATTTTTTTTTTATTTTAACATTTTATTCAATTGGTCCAATAAATTTTCTTGTACAAACATCCAACACTCTACAGTCCCTTACAATTTGAAATTCGAAATAAATTGTTATATAATAAATATATATGAACTTCAATGCTACTTTCTCACATTTTGATTTTGTTTTTGGATTTCTGAAAACAAAAAAAAAAAAAATTGTCACTTTAACACGCAGCATCTTTTATACAATTTTGTATAATAACTGTAACTGTATTTATTTATTTATTTATTATTATTATTTAAGTTATATTTTTTAAATTGAATTATATTATATTTATATATATATATATATTGAAAAAGGTTATGGTTAATTTGCGCAAAATCTGATCAATTTTATTTTACCATCATCATCACTACCTTTAAGACACATACATACATACATACATGTACATGCTATACACACATCATTATTATACCATTGTGGTTTTTTATATTTAATTTTTATTTATTTATTTTTATTTTTGTTTTTCTTCTTATTTTTAATTTTATTTCTTTTTTTTAAATTAAAGGATATCTTACTTAGAAATATTTTTACAGTTAAATTTGTTCAGTGATATGTTACTAATCTAAAAGATCAGTCTTTATATTTTATAAGGATAAAATCGGGAAAAATTTAAAAAATTATATTAAAATTATATAATTTTAAAATTAAATTATTAAAAAAAGTGTTGTGATTTTTTCAAAAAAAAATTTATTTGACTAATCGAAATGTTAATTTCGGTTGCATTAACAACATGGATTTGTATATTTTTAGTATTAATTAGGCTATCATATTCAGTGACAAATGATGAAAGATTGGAATTATTATTTACTGCAAGGTTATTAATAATTTTATAATTTTTTTAATTAATTGGAATACAAGTAATTTGTTCTGTTTTAAATAGCCACGGATATTAGGATGAAACAATGAATTAAATATAGCCACTGTGTTATTGGAAAATATCTTTATATATAATATTGTTAAAATCATACTAATTATTTATTAAAAATAAATAATGAAGAATCAAAACATAATTTAGTAGTTTATTAGTAAAATTTCAATTAGAACACCAAATTTTAACATAATATTATAAGATTTAAATTAGAAAAACCTAGAGGCTTAATTTATTTCACTTTATTCCCATCCTGGAATAGTTATTTTTTTAATTGCTCTTCTTTTCTAATATTAAAATTTAAAGCCTTTCAAAAAATATAAAAAAATATATACAGATAATAATGAATTATTGCAAAATAATTTTATTACGATTTAATAAACTATGGAATCAAAAATCATGAAACACGCTTTTGTAATCAGAAACTCTATTATTACTAAAGTAATTTTACTCTCGTTTTTTAATAAATATAGCATTTTTACTACATCAAGTATAGTAAAATTCATTTTGCTTATTTGCTTGTTTTTTTTTTTGGTTAATTTTTAATAACTGCATATTAAAAGTACATTTACGCGTATTATATAAATGTAATATTAAAATACATATTTAGAGAAAATTATAAGCTAATTAAAATTTTGAAATACTACTGTGCAAACTAAGAATAAGTTTCTTAGAAATATTGGAGTAAATTTACTCAAATTTTAATCCGATCACTTAGAGTGTGTACTACTTAAGTACAGTACAAATTTTTATGAATTTTAGTACAAAACTTTTTCTCAAAATGGCAATATTGTTGAATTCAATCACTTCCAGAACATTAACTGGACATGATCACTTTTTTTCAGTATGAGTTTTTGACTTTATAAATTTGGCCCAATTGTGAATTTTTACTTATATTCTAAAATAAAATATTAAATTTGTATAAATTAAGAATAAAATTTTAAAATATTTCGATTTAGTCGTATATACATATATTGAAATTCATAATTGGCTTCTATGATTAACATAAAGATTTTTAATTTATTGCATTAAAAAAATTGAAATGTTAGTAAATTAAAAATATTTACACAATGTAGTTGGAATAATCTCATCAAGATGAAATTTATAGGGAAATCATACAAAGTTATACATCCTTGATAATAAAATCAAGTTTACGGCCTCAATGAAAGGAGATCACAAAAATCAAACGTTATGTTCAAAGAAAGTTGAAAATTTCAACAAAAATTCTCCCTTTTTTATTTCACTTTTTATTCCTGATTCCTGTTTTTTCAATTAGATATTATTAGAAATGATTAAATTTTGTTAGATTTTATAAAGAAGCGAGAAAAAAGTAAAACGAAAAAATTTTTCTTACTTAAAAATTACATTATACAAATAAATGAAAGTCGTTCGTTCATCTTTTTCTCACTTGGCAAGTAAAACAGCGAGATACACGATCACGTCCTTAATTACTGCTCGAAGTGGATTTTGTAATATTTATCTGTCAAAAAATGTGAGCAAAATAAAACAAAAAACAAAGTGTATATATTTTCTAAATAAGCTATACAGGAGACTATTTGGAACTTATAAAATGTTAAATAACTTAAACAAATTTTTTCGGTTTTTTAAAGTAAAAAAAATATATATGTACATATATGTACATAACATGTACCTTATTTATACAACCAGAATAGCGGAAGCAAAAATTTACGCCATTATCGTAGTAAAGCGTCACATATAACGTCCAATTATCTATTATTAAAAATAAAACAAAAGCATTCCATTTAATTTCAATCAGCGTTCCTAACGTTAAAATTTATGTAATTTTAATTTAATAGTAGTTATATAATAAATAATTTATTTAATATCATTGACCAATAATAAAAAATATTTACGATAATATATAATAATTTTATTTTTTTTAATAATTTAGATCACCAAGTGATTGGGCCGATGTATGGCATTCAGAAGCTTATTCAAGATGTCGGAATAAACTAGAACGACATTTATTTTGGGCCTGTGAAAAAGATATTTATCGGCTCACTCGTAGGAATAATTTCAAAACAGAATTTGAAAAAAGATCAAGTAAATAGCAATCAAATAAATTAAAATGCCTATATAATTTATAATTAATTTTTAGAACCATTTCCTTGGATAGAAGAAAATGATGCAAGAAATTTTTTAAAAGTACGGCGTTTAAAAAAAGCTGGCAATGAAAAAGGAATTACTGCAGAATGTTGTACAAGAGTTGGATGTACTTGGGAAGAATATGCTGAATATTGTCCATCAAATAAACGACGAAATCATAATAATCAATAAAGAAATTGAATATTTTACCAAAAAAATTATATACGACTACACTTAAAATCAAAATACATACATATGTAAATTAAAATGATATGTTAAAGCTTATAATATTGTATAATATTTTATTAAATTATCAAACAATAATTCTTATTATTTAAATATAAATATGTAGATAAATTATGATATTTTTGAACTAAAAATGCTGATGATATAAAACAATTAATTACAGATTTTTCTTTATTTTTATTATTTTTTATATTTAAAATGTGATTTTAGTAACGTTGAATAACCCTAACGCTTTAAAATTTGTATAATGACCCTTGTGTCCGGCGTTATTATTCTTACACATATGATGCTTCAACTTTAATTTTTTGTTAAAAATTGAATTATTTGTAGTTAGGATTTATTTGTACAGTATAATAACAATTACTAAAATAACAGTTATAGTTATATTAACCATAATAACAGTTATTTAAACTGTTATAATTAAAATGACACTGTCAAACTGCTTTATCTTTATGTTTACTACCATACCATTTCGGTCTTTCTTATCAAAATAAAAACAAATGTCAAAGTCAGGTGATGCTGCCTCAATAATAATGGAAAAAATAGAATTTTAAACAAAATTATACATCATGACAATGGCACCGAAAAGCGATAAACATGGTAAAATAATTAAAATTATTAATCCTGGACTTTCTTATCTTTGAATATATTTTTATAATTTAGGTACAGGTAATGGAACTGAGGAAAGTGCCGACGAAGCTGATCTTCAAGGTATATACATAATATATCTATATCTATTCAAAAACTGTGAAACAAATCCACTAATATACATCTACATGTGTACTTCATTGTGTTTTACAGTATGTCTAGCAGTATAAATTAATAATAATGTTTTTTTTTTTTAGAAATTGCTTCTGTAAACACTAGTTTGGATGAATTAAGTAACATGTTAGATGAAATGGAAAATAATACAGATAATATAATGGCACAATTAAGAGAATTATTACAATCAAATAGAGAAATACGTGCGGAATTTAAAAATATGGATCAAACAACATCGCAATCCCAAAATTCAGAACAAACAAATAATAATTCCAATCAAACTTCACAAGGTAGTAGTAATACTACCATAACAGAAGCGAATAATCCAGATGAGGAAATGAAAGATTGTTAGAAAATGTTATTAAGTTTTCTTGTTGTATTCAATATTTTGCGGGATTACTTACATTATTATAAGTACCTATATGTATATTATACAAAATATTGGAAAACTGCAATGTATAAGGAAGTATCCTGTTCTATTCTTATTTAAATCAGTATTTATTTTATGTAAATATTACTACATACATGTTTTATTATATGTGTTAATCTAACTAAAAGTTATATTCAAAGTTAAACAATAATTTTAGCATAAAACGTAAATATTATTGGCCGTAAAATTAAATACATAATTCTAAAAAAAAATGTAGTTTGAAATCATGCTTAGTGCTGATCTATTTCTGATTCATTACACAAAATTTTATTTACAGAAAAATTATATAACGATCTGTTGATTTTTTTAAGACGTTCGTTTTCTTCTTTTAATGCTTTTAGTTCTTCACTTTGGTCACCACTTTTGCTAACGGTGCTTAAACTATCACTTTGTGTAAATTCTTGACAAAAATCTTCAATGATTTCATTATCAACAGCAACATCGGGAATAAAGACTTCAATAACATCTTGTATGCTAGATTCTTCATTATCTTTCATTCTTTTTAAATTGGATATGATTAAATTAAAATTAATTTCAGCATTGAATGTATTCCTTCCACATAATATAAATTTAATATTTGTAATAGGTCCCCTATGGGATATCACACGTAAAACTTGCTTACTTGCAATATCCCATAAATATACATTATTATCTTTACCACCAGAAGCTAACATTTTTCCATCCAAAGATAAATCTAAACAAGTTACTGAATTACTATTATGTCCCAAAAATTTATTGTTATAATCATTTTCTTGCATATGATATTCTTTTATACGAGGTGGATTATTCAAGTTGTATTGATAAATTATGCCTGAAACTGTACCAATAAAAGCATCATTTTCCAAAATATTTATGCAAATCGAGGTAAGTCCTTCGTCATGCACAAGATTTAGCAATAGTTCACCGGTTATTAAATTGTAAAAACGGCAAGATCTATCTAAAGAAACAGTACATAGTATTGCACGTAAACCTCCGCGACCTATGTGTATATCAGTAACTGGTAAGGCATGGTCATTCAAATTATATAATGGTTGCTGTTCACCCGAAGCAGTTTTCGTCAAATTCCACACAAGAACTGTACCATCATGACCTGCTGAGACAAAATGTGAGTTGTCATCTGTAAATTTTATTGTCGTAATAGCTTGAAAATGTCTCGAAATAACATTTAACAACTTCCCGGAACATATTTGCCAGATATAAATATTTTCTTGGATACCGGCTATCAAAAAGTTACCATCAGAAGAAACGGCTAAAATAAAGCGAATTAAAAAATGTTTTCCTATTTTCTTTTCTATCTACCTAATGCATTGACTTTGCCTGGACTAACTAAGCGAACTCCACTAATTTGTTCTTGACTGTTTGTTGGCCAAATATGAATTAATGGTTTTGTGTTATTGGCCGTAACTAAAAAGTTGTTGGTTACCATCGAAAGACAATGTGAAGCTGCAGCTTCTCCACCTTTATACGTCATCACACTTGTACCTGTCCTTGGATCCCAAGCCGAACATGTCCATTGATTAGCTTCTGAATCACTAGTTATTAAAGCTTCAACCAATTCACCCATGTTTCCCTTTTTTTATTTGTTTTGTTAATTTAAAAAAAAACGTGAACAAAAGTCAATCATACACTAAAGACTCGGAAGTTCGTACACTAAAATATAATATTATCATCCCTGCTACATTATATTATATATTAGCTTATTTCTTAAAACTGCGTTCACATGACTAAAAACAAACTGAAATGCAAAATGCAAACTGAACTTAAAATCAAAATTAGGAAAATGAAGCAATTATTCACTCTTTTTAACAAATTGCCGAATAAAGAACCCAAAATTCTTTTAATTTCTTGCAGTTTTTAGTTCATCGATATGCTCAAGGTGTTTATGATACCATATTGGTATTTTAATTTTATTTTTACCAGGTGTTTACGTAGAGAGATTTTAAGCAAGAACGTTACAATACATGTAAAAATACTACTTTAATAGCAGTTCACGAACTCTTTGTTCAAATGCGCAGAAAATTTTCCTACCATTGAGCAAGTAACTTGACAATTAAAAAAACATTTATGCAACTAAGTTAACATGTTGAAGCTTTTAAATGTTTTTTTTGAAAAATAAGCAAAATGGACATCTCAAAAATATTTAAAAAAATGAACTAACTTAATGTGAATTCATTTCGGAATTATTCGAAGAACTAAATGATTAGACCAACTTGCTTGCCAATAACTTCTTTATGTAAACCGTTGTTAATCTAAACAGGAAAACGTATACAAAACATTGAAAACTACACATAAATTTTTATTGCTGTCAAATGTCACCCAACCGGAGTATTTTGAAGATTTTACGTCAAAAATAAATCTTTGATGTTGTTTTGATGACTGAAGTCATGTGATTAATAAATTTAATTGATCAATTAAAATAACATCAACTTTTATTAATTGCTTTTTAGATCATCATTTTTACTTTGTCGCACTAAAGTACTTAAAACGTAAATAAAAAAAATGGGTAACAAATCCTCTTTACTTTTACGGGAGGAAGAAATCGCACAAATCCAAGAAGAAACAGGATTTACTCCAAGTCAAATTGAACGTTTGTATTCCAGATTTACATCATTAGATCGAAATGACTGTGGCACACTTTCAAGAGATGATTTTTTAAGAATCCCGGAATTAGCAATTAATCCACTTTGTGATAGAATTGTGCATGCATTTTTTTCTGAAAGCAGCGATGACAGAGTAAACTTCAGGCAGTTTATGCAAGTGCTGGCACATTTCAGACCTATACAGAAAGGAAAAGAAAATAAATATAATAGCCGTGAAGAAAAACTAAAATTCGCTTTCAAAATGTATGACCTTGACGATGACGATGTTATAAGTCGGGATGAGTTACTAAGTATTTTACATATGATGGTTGGAGCTAACATAAGCCAAGATCAACTAATTAGTATTGCAGAACGTACAATACTTGAGGCTGATCAATGTGGACAAGGAAAAATTTCGTTTGATGATTTCTGTAAAGCTTTAGAAAGGACGGAAGTTGAACAAAAAATGTCCATTCGGTTCCTAAATTAAGTATATTGCTAGTAATATACATATAATTGGTATTTGCAGAGCGAAATTGGGAATTTTTTTTGAATGCATGAGAATAATAAAATAATTTGTAAATGTAATATTGTTCACTTAATTACCAAATAAAATATATATTTTTGATTGAGACATGTTAAATAAAATGGTGTAGATAAAATTTTAATTAAAATAATTTATTAAACACAAAATTTTCTAGTCACATTTCTTTTGATCTTCAGCTTTAACTTTAGGTTTAGATGGATCTAATTTATCACTAGTATTATCACAAATCTCTTTCTTTTTGGGTAGGAATGTACATTGATCTCCGTTACATTGAAATGGAAACTCTGGTCCTGCCTTTATAACATTTCCATCAGCATCTTTTTTTTCCCAAGGATTCCAATATCTTAATACAATAGGTTGAATAAATTTATGCCAAATAAAAAGTAAAACTGGAATTATAAAACACGGAACACAAACCATTTTATTTTTTAATAGAGGTTTTGTTTTGTTCTATATTCATTTGCGCAATTAATCAAAATAAATATTTGACATTGACACTTCGAATAACAACTGAAACATTTTTGTGAAGGTTTTTGAACTCTCCCTGATTTCATTTTAACCCTTTAATATCGTAAATCTTCCCATAAGTTCTTTGACTATTACTGCGTTTGAACCCCAGCTTGAAGCCGGCTTCCACCGAATTGCGAGCTAATAAAAACACAAGTCGATGTCATATTTAACCCGTGCAAACGCATGAAACTTTACTTTAGTATTTCCAAACATAATTAATATTTCAATCGTTCATGTGTCAACGAAACATATGTTGAAAAAAATATTGGGAAATATTAGGTATTGATCATGAAAAACAAATGTTGTAGAAATTTGTTCCAAGAATAAGGATTGACAGTTACTTTTCACAAAAATAGCATCATGGGGCCATTTGAATTTAATTGACTTAGTGATCATTTTGTGAAAGATGACGGTCAAATTGTCAATCATATAGCTTTGCTTTTCGATGTAACATCTTTGGAGAAATCTATTTTCTGAACCAACTCTTGAATTTTATGGTAAAATAAATTACGTTTAGAAATTTCAAATTTGACATTTGACACTAGGTCAGGTGTTTGGTTTATTGACTTTAATTACTTTTGTTTGTTTTTTATATTTTGCCTTTATCAAAAAAAGAAGATACTTGTAGCTCTTTAAGCTATATTGTTAGCTTTATATAAATTTTTAAATTTTTACTTTTTATAACCCATTTTGTAATATGAATGTTATAAATAAATTTGTAAACCCTTTGAAAATATTATCTAATTCGGCATGGAGACTAAACCGGAGTTACAGTTCAGCGTCAAACGAAGAGGTCGTGGTAAGTAAATAAGTTATTAATAAGTATGCTTGAAAAACTTACGAATATTAAAACTATGAAACGAATTTTAGTTTGAAAAACTAGGTGATAATAGACAAGGAGTAGTTGTTGTTGGTTTGAACAGAGCGGCAGCAAAAAATGCTTTTGGACAAAATCTAACACGTAGGCTATCAAATATTATATCAGATTTGCAGCATAATAAAGAGGTTAAAGTGGTCATATTGAGAAGTTTAGTTCCTGGAATATTTTGTGCTGGAGCAGATTTAAAAGAAAGAAAAAAACAAACACCCGATGAAGTTGTAAAGTTTGTAAGTCTTTTGAAATCTACCCTAATAGGAATAGAACAATTACCAATGCCAGTAATAGCTGCTGTAGATGGTCCAGCTTTGGGTGGTGGTCTTGAAATGGCGTTAGCTTGTGATATTCGTATTGCGTCTAATGATGCGAAATTGGGTTTAGTTGAAACAAGACTTGCGATAATACCTGGTGCTGGAGGAACTCAGAGACTTCCAAGAATTGTTGGTCCCTCTATAGCTAAAGAGCTTATTTTTACTTCTCGCGTTATGAATGGAAAAGAAGCCAAAGAGTTAGGTGTAGTTAATCACGTAGTTGATCAAAATGGTACCAAAGACGCAGCGTTTCAAAAAGCGTTGCAAATTGCTGATGAAATTGTACCCAATGGTCCTGTTGGTAAGTTGACATTTGAATAACTTAAATTTGATTCTTTGAACAATTTTATTTGGTTTGAGGTGTGCGAATGGCTAAAAAAGCAATAGATAAAGGTTTACAAATTGATTTAGCTGTGGGATATGCAATTGAAGAAGCATGTTATGCTCAAGTTATGGTGACCAAGGATCGTTTGGAAGGATTGCAAGCGTTTGCTGAAAAACGAAAACCGATTTATAAAGGGGAATAAAAAATAGCAAAACAAAAAGAAAAAAATATCTCCGATCATGTAACTTTAGAATTTTTATACTATTATTTGTACTGAAAACTGTAACTGATGCATTTAAAAACAGAAGTGACCTTGTATATAAAAAGCCGTTTTGAAATACATAAATTTTAAAATATGTATGTACATAATGTATGTATGGAGTTTGTAAAAATATATTGTTAATCTGAAGCAATTAGAAAGTACATACAAAAATGTACTTTTCCAAAGTGCTAATTATACAGGTATCGAAAGAGACAGGGACTTGCGTGGAGAAATCGATTTTTTGCAGTTGGAATTTGAAAAAATTGTAGTAGGTAGTGTCGATTTGGTTCAATTCAAATTTACAACAATGAGGCGAGCCGAGAACGGATCGGTATTACTATATGTAAATAATAATTTAGGGAACTGGCACATACTAAGAAAAACTTCTGTCAATCGAATTTGCAAGATTCATTCTAAAATTTTAAATTAGATCGTTGTCACATCATTACATTTTGAAAAATACCACTACGTGGCGCATTTAATTTTCAAAAAACTAAAAAATTTTCGCGTTGCGTGCGTATTTTGCATTTTTCTGCTTTTGCTTATTTCATCTTATTAGAATGGAAATGAAACACAAAAAAGAAATCGAAGAAACAAATGAACTGATGTCATTTTTGACGTTTAGTAAGATTTCTGATTCGGTGGTGTTTGGTTGGCAATTTCGGATAAGTAAAAACGGAGTAAATTAAAATATCCTTGGAAAAGAAATTAAAAAAAAAATTCCGTCTTAAAGTTATTTACAAATATTAGACACTATTAAATTGTAGAAAAAAATTTGCATTTCATTTTTAAATAAAGCATTTAAATAAAAATTAATACGGCATGTGGAGTCCGACTCACGTACAAGTAACGGGTACGTTTTATATTTGACAAGTTGAAAAAAATTTCAAGTACATTCATAAAAAAAAAACCAATAAAAAAAATTTCCAATAGAGAGTGTGACAAATAACATAAATTTATAAATACCGCAACATTTATATGTGATACTACATGTACATGTTTGTAAACATCAAAATATATAAATATATAAAATACTATTTTTCTCAAATGAAAGAAGGTTACTTTGAACTTTCTTTAATTTCCTAAAATGTAAACAGGATTTATTGCGTGATATCATCATAATCATAAGCTGAAGCAAATCTAATCAAGAAGAAAAAAGTTATTTTCTCTTTTTAACAAAAAAATAAAAATGGTGACATATTATTTTTATACGTATGTATGTAGTTATTAATGCTACAAGATAAGTTATTTTGCAACGTAACACAAGTAGGTATTATTATTTATATTTTATAAAGCTATACATATATATTTTTATTTAAATTAAAAAAACCATATGAAGCACTTCTAATTAGGTATAGAAATTCACCATATGGTTTTTTATATAAAAAAATAGCAATTCAGGAGAAGTATAACTTGCAGTATTCTATTATGGTCTGCTAATATTAACATCGCCAGGAATGCAAGATACATATTTATCATTAATGAATTGTTTATAAGCCTCATTTCAGTATATGTAAAAGGAAAGAAAATATTCAAAATATTATTAAAATTACCCACTTTCCTAATTTGTTAGTAAATAAATATTTAAAACATTTTCTTAGTTTAAAACTACAGGTACGTTATCGTATCGTATTTTAAAATGGCACCTACCTATTTACTTAACTAAATAGGTACTGATATTTAGCGAAACTATAATTGCTAATAACAATATGCTTTCAAATAAGACTAGATAGGTAGGCAGTGTTTTCAAATCAGATTAATAACATTCAATGGTAAAAATCACTAGAAATTAAACAATTGAGTAGACCTTGCTTAAAGATTAAGTTTGGTACCAACCTTGTTACCTACCCACCCAGTTAGAATAAGAAGACAATTTTGTAAAAATTTTACATGTTAAATAAAAAAAAAAGATTTTGTTAGAAGTTGGTATTATATTTCTTTTACTTTGATTTCCCTTTTAATAGTTTGCAAAATTTAAATTTTTTAAGTAATAAAATTGTAAATACAATTAATTATGTAGGTAGGGTACTATTTACGAATAATCTTTAAATTTTTATGTTTAATCGCAATCAGTTCTAAGTAGATACCTACTTTAGAGTTTTTATAAATATGAAACACTAATTAGTAATTACTTATGTGTGATAAGTAAATAGGCAGGCAGGTACACTTTCTTATTTATTAATAAAATATTTCCATAGGTCAAAAAGCAAAATAGAATAAAAATAACTAAGTAGGTACTTAGTTAGTTGTAATTAATATTTTAAAGCCCATCCATTAAAACTGATCAAAGGAATCTTTTTAATTTTAGTGATGCTATTTGTATTTAGAAATTATATAAGGATCATTATTTGAATCCTATTTGAAATAGAAATTGTAGGCTTTATCGTCTATCTCGTTATTTTACTCGGCTATTGATAAACTATTCAGTCGATAATTTGAAAAAAAAATCCAATTGAAAAAATGAGTAATCTTATTGGAAAAAAGATGAGTAAAAAATTCATTATTAATTACGGAGAATTCTGGTTTGAAAGTGAGTAAAAATGCGAGATACATGATTAGGCTGTTAAGTGTGGGATAATAAGATTTGGTGTTAAAATTGGTAATGGGTGCTAAAATTGCTAACATTTATCAAATATAGAATGGCTTTCTATTTTTTTATACTTATTTTAAATAAAATTCACAGAAAATCGTACCTTTCATTAAAATCAAATCAAATCAAACAAAATTGATGTGCATCGTTTGATAAGTACTTTAGTGTTGATACCTACCATGTTATTTTGTAAGATTTGTGGGGCCACCAAGAGAAGTGTTTACTGTTTTAAAATATAAACTTTATATTAAATTAAATTTCGTGATAAGTTTTTATATATTATGTACTCGTATACATGAAATCGGGAATTACCAAAGATCATTAAAATATATTTATTATATCTTATTACCTCACCCATTTTTTATTCTTTTTTTTTCATCATGTAGGTAGGTACATGCCTAGGTATGACCATTTTAAGAATTTACATTTTCAAACATACATAAATATTATGTAAAGCAGTAAAAATTACGATAAACATAAATAATAATTGTAAAAATTATTAAAAAATTTTTGCAGTAAAGTACTTACCTACCCAATTATTTGGTTAGAACGCCATTATATTTAAAGATATTCCATTTGATTTTGCACTTCTATGGATTAATGTATAGGTAACATAAATGTAAAAAGCTACTTACAGCCGAATATTTGATTACTCAAGCATTTTTGTTTTTTTTTTTTTTTTGAGTTCCAAATATTTAAAGAGACCTACCAAATTTTTTACGTGTATATTTTTATATTAACTTATGTTAGCTTATATATTATTTTGTATTTTGTTAAATATATTTATTTTTCTCTTCTCTTATGTGTTAAAATTGTATTTTCCGTGTTCTACTTTAACAAAAATGAAAGTTTTGCTTTATTTATTTTTTGGTATTTTTGTATTTATTGTAATTTTATACTTAGGTATTTTGTTTTGTCTATGTTAAAATTTAGGTTTCCATTTATAGCATCAAAACATGAAAATATATTTTTTTATTTTGTTTTGTCTTACTATTATTTACTTGTATGTTTGTATGTGCATACTTACCTACTCATCCAATTTATTTTATATATTTAAGTATAGTAAATAAATTGTTATTAAATAAGTATAGAAATCGGTAAATAATTGGTTCGTGATTTGGATGAAAATCAAAAAAGAGAAAAAGAAAACTTTTTTTTTTAAATATTTTGTAAATTTTTATAAAATTCAGATAGAAATTTATTATTTTACTATATTTTAATTCTTCCTATAGATATTTGATTGCAATTATTAGATAAATTTGACCGTAATCTAGATCAGAGCTTATTTATAATTTGCTTATAGCATATTCGTTCTCATATTTGTATAGAATGCTAGTAAGTAACTATTTAAGTACTTATTCAAATAACACTTATGTAAACAGTTACATTTTGAATTCAGGGATCCTGGTCAGCATTAACTGTATTATAAAAATTATTATGTATTTACAATAAAAAAGTATAGAATCTGAAAAAATTAGTCAAAATTTTAATTTTTAAAATTATATCGGTCAAATTTTCTTAATTGAAAATTTAATCTTATTCAAATTTATATTTAAACTTTCACAAAATTTTTGAATATTTTTAGTAAATAAGCGATAAGTATATACCTATATAAAATATTGATTAGTGCTAAATTATTCACTGATATTTAAGTAATAACTGTCAAAGATTAAAAAGTTATAACATAAAAATTAATAAAAGTTTTAACTACTTATCACATATTTTAAATTTTATAATCTTAAAATATGCGTTTAATTTTTAAATATGATAAGTTGAAACTTTCCTACCAAGTTGTGTTTTATTTAAAATTTTTGTAACTATATCTATAGAAAAAATGTTAATCAAGGAAAGTTATTGTGTTTGCTTATTTTGCTGTTGTTTACAAAGTACAGAAAATAATATTTGTTGGAATATAAATTTACCTGGAAAAGTAGTTTTTGTATTTTACTCATTTTTCCTTTCGTTTACTGCTAGAAAAAATGGCAATGATGAGGCTGACCAATGTCTCATTATTTATTTCTCATTTTAAAAAAGTTTCTATTTTAACAAAATATTAATAGGCAATGTATTTGGAAATGTGAATGAAAATTTCAGAGAATTTTTTATGAGAAAATTTCCGTGGTTGTTCAACACAAGAAAAAATGTGTGTTTTACAAGTTTAAAGCAGTATATGGATATAGATGTAACGTAGAGCCAAATGAACGCAGGAGATTCGTTCAAATTTGCAATTCTCTATTCGAGCAATAAAATATTTCATATTGTTTCAATTAATAAATAAAATATTTGGAACTGTTAATTAATTGTAAAGCAGAATAATTAAAACTTACATGTAATCCACATTACTTATTGATTTTAAATGTATGAGTAGCTATTTTTAATTTATTTTTTTTGTTTATTTTGGATAATTTATTTAAAATTATTTCATGTATGCATTTAAGTACATTAATTTTAAATATTACGTGAGTTACTTATATATGTAGACGTACTTATAATTAATGCTTATATCTTATTTTATATTTGATAATTAATTTCACTTTCATTTGCAACAAAAAAAAATAAATAATTTACCGAATACTTAAGGTATCAATTTTTGGCATTGTACGTCGATGTTTTGTCTAATAATTTATTCAAAAACAATACAAGGCTTCTGTTTAATTGCATGCCTAATAAAAAAATTGTAATTTCTATTTTTTAATTGTAATAACAAAACAGATGAAGGCATTGATTACAAGTGCCTAAATCAAATTTTGTATTTGAAAAGCATTATTACAATTTATTAATATATGTATATACACATAAGTTTATATATATAAAAGTACGTGTTTTCATTTCTAAGAGAAAGCTTTCAAATTCAAATTAATGGTTCAGTTACTTGTTTTAATTCATAATCTCTTAATTTAATTAAGTATAAAAAAAAATCTTGTTTAAAATTTTTCTTTATACTTAGTTTTTCCTAACACATATTTTGTTTTGTATATTTATAAAGTTATATGTTCATAAAAACATAAATGAAAAAAAATTACAAGATGTTTCAGTTGAACTTAAAGCATTATGGGTTTTTTGTTCGTAGTCAATGTTGCCACTAGATTCCATATTTTAGTGATATTAATTTTACATGATATTTAGCTTATGAACAGATTATAAGCATTAATTTCCATTTACTAAAATCTGCAGGCTGCAATGTGGAACCCAATGTATACAAATTAAATATTAAACTCTTCTTCTTCTCTCCTTGCCTTATTCCCGTTATGAGGGGTCGAATC